TATACACAAAAAATATTCCAATGAAAAAAATTCAATATTAATCAAAAGCAATCAGAGCAAGGCTTTCGCTTAGGAGAGCGCATCTGGCATTGCCATAGTACATATGGTATGTATAAAAAAATTAGGTACAGATAGTGCTTAGAGCGTCTATTTCCAACACAAAGACCTTTCCTTTCCGCGCAATACGTCGAGAGACCGCGATGAAAAGTAAAAATGATTAAAACCTTTACGACTCACTTGAGAAGAATATAGAACCTTTCTATTTCGTATATCTTTGACAGACTTAATGCGAAATAATAAAATAAAGATCTGAAAATATAAAACTCGTCTTACCGTGGCCAGATCAAGATAACGCCACGAAAATATTCCATATATTATTAACTTATCATGTTTTAATAGTTTAAAATTAATTTGACACTTGAGGAGGGCTATAAAATATTTATATTAATCCACAGATACAATAAATATAAAATGGTTTCTCATTTACATTGTTTGATTAATGATAACTGTAACTATTTAACTATATGCTAATAACTCGTATTTCAATCATTAATTATTTTTATCGAACCTAATAAATAACAAACGTATTATCAAAGATGAGATAAAACACGAAAGACGATAACTTCTAAACTGAAAGAATATTATTTATGTTTGAAGAATATGTTAACAAAATGGCTTAGGTATATTCTGTTGCACTTATATGTATGTCCTTAAATTATTAACCTTTAAAGATTTCACTCTTTATATCCTTTCATCCTATTAAAATAAACCTTCATGTTTCTATAATACGATATATATGTAAAAGTATAATAAAACTGTTACGAATTCGAAAGGGATGCCGACAAGCATTTTTATTCCGCCTTATTAAAATAGTAACGTAGTATAATAATAAGTACCTACCTAGACCTATCTCCTTATTAGTCATACATTGGAAAGGTCATTATATGAGAACGTGTTAAAAACAATCTGCATATAAGAGTCGTCTTACAAAACAAAATAATAATGTTCAAATCATTATTACATATCTAATTAATTCAATAAATATTAATAGCTAATATATTAATATTCATTCCGCATACACACACACTTCACAATCAACTTATAAATTAATGTGATACACTCATTTAATATGTAGATCAGATATTAGTTTCCTTAGTCCAAGTTTGCAGTTCGAAGATTTATGTATGATGAACTGGAAACGTAGAGTATGTAGTAGTAGACTCGTGGTAAACTTGCCGTAAACAATAAAATTATGTTATAATAAAGTAAACATCATTAAATGAAATACTTAAAGCAAGTGGAATAGTATAAACATATTTGTTTACTAGATTGTATTTGATGTCACAAAAACCTGAATAGTGTGTGTAATCAGTAAAGAAAAATAAAGTAGTATAAAATAATTATGTCTGAAAGGGAAAATTACCTACACAGTTTTACGAGTAACATTTTATTATTGACAAAACATGTTGATTTTATAAAATATTTAGGAATTGTCAGAAATGCCATAAAATAAATTTTTGGAATCTTATGTGTTTTATATTAAATTTTTTGTTGACATTCAAACACACTTATATAATGCATAACCATTAACTGCCTATTGGGGTGATCATTCGTTGATGAATATTTTTTTATCGAATTCGTAACAAAATATCGAATTCGTACCATAATATACAAATCTTAGAGAATATAATTTACGTAAACTTAAAGCATTTGTAATGCCAAATGGTGATCCCATAAAAATTATATTTATTTCAATTTGGGAAACAGCCAGTTATTTAATAAAAACAAAATATGTGTCTTAAAAAACAAGAATTCCAATACCCAAAGTACAAACACTTGTCTATTAAATTCCTATTTCTCAATTTGTATCAGGATGTACCGCCCAATTTTATTGATTTTTAATAGTTTATCTTTCAAAAAGTGCTACTTACACTTATCAATAATGCTGTCATTATAATAGTCTCAGAAATAAATGTGGTTTATTTAAAATTATAGATAAAAATTGAAATATTTTTGTAATATGTAAATTTAAATACGAAAACCTCACTAGTTGTGATGCGATCAAAACTTTTTATATTTTATGTTTAAATTCACTTTGAAATCTGAGATAAAGTCAAAAAATCTTTTTAATTTTAATGATACTGTTTCAAGATGTAGAACCTGAAATAAAATAAATTAAGGTAATATTCGATACAATTAACATATATTCAAAATATTAAAGATAAAAAATAAACATATGTAGTAGTATGTCCATAATGTTAACGTTTAGAGCGTAGATAAAATATACTTATGTATGTACATACATCTACATAATTCTCTCAAACCAGATATACATTAGTGAAGAGAATCAAGAACGTGTTGGAAAAGTTTGTTTTTTCATTTTTTTAAGCCTCAGCCAGCCTCTAAGATGCAATAAAGGTATACCCATCTTTATTAAATGTAGCGACTAATAAGTCAAAACAACGATAATAGCGGTTTTTTCCCCTTAACCCCGTACAATCCGAGACAAAATGGAGCCCCATATATTTAAAGCAACCCATCCTTTCTATGCTTAATCTAGTATTTAAAAAATATAAACTCTTTAAGACTTGCGACATTCACTATACTAACAAAGCTTTTATTTAAAATTGAATTAGCATACTTATTAATATACTATACACAGCAGATGAAAGGCCCTTCAAACAAATTGTCTACTTATCCCGTGATTGATTATCCATCACTAAATATCTATTAGCGATATTTATAACGAGAGCTAATAGTATTAATAAATCTACATCAAATTGGAGTATGATGACTCGTCATCAAACTCGAAAGAGTATTTTCTAGAATAATCGAAACAATATGTTCCTTTTCAAAGAGCGTCATCCTAGTTCTATTTAGTAAAAGTAAGGAAACTTTTCGTCACCAACTTTTTAAGAAAATATGACATTCGTAAGAAAACGTGAAAAGTCTTATTATTTTGATTTAAGAAATTTGGTATCAAGCATTGAATATCTCTAGACTGATTTATCAATTTCAGAATATTTTAGTATCACCAAATATTATCATTTTATATTTTTATTCTTGTAATAAATTATAAATGATAAGGATCAAACGCCAATATGTTTAACTACTTGTCAAACGTCAACATAATTTATGTGAGATACAAACATTCTCGCAAACAAAATTAAGAGCTTCTATATACAATGAAAACAGCTCATTAAATATTAAGTACCAATCACTTCAGTAATTTATGTCAGTGATAAAAGTTTTGTTTGAAGAAAAGTAAAGTAATTATTAACATTCTTGTCTTTGAAATAATAGTAATTGAAATTATTGTATATAATTTTAAAGGTGTTCAGTTAATTCAGATGATTTTATATCTGAAGGAAAGTAAAATATTTCAAGGATTTCAGAAAGATAATCTAAAATGATAAGTCTTTTAGTATCTTATCGCAACTTAAGTATCTAATCTTGGCAATTTTGCATTGAACATTAACAAAAATAATTTGAACTAAATATAGGTAATAACTACAAGTAGTTACGAGATTTTTAGTTTTGCTGTCTTATAATTTCATTGTGCAATTGTTAAATAATTATGACACATGTTTTAATACATCGGAAGTCATAAAATCGTTATCGGTGACAATATTATGAAGAGTTTCGATGTGATCTTTGTTCGTGAACCTAAACTCAATAGTTTGGCCTTGTGATAAGAATTGTGTTTTTTTTCATCGTCCCAGTTACAATCGAGAATATTATAATATGCAACGTATTTACGATGATAGCAGTTCAATTTTATATTACATTACACTTCTCTTAATAATAATTATTAACTAAATACACAAACAACACTTGTTTATATGACCTATAATGGCCTAAATTCCTATCACAGTTACATGGTAGGAAGTAGGAACGCTTATCTATTTATATAAAAATGAATCCCTTTTTCCCTTGGTCACAGCATCACGCGTGAATAGCTGGACTGATATCACTAATTATTTTTTTATCGTATTTGTTATTATTAGGAGAAGGTTCTTATGTAAGAAAAAATTACGAAAATTACTAAAAAAAAAATATCACAATATTTCACTTTTTTGGTACAATAATGTGTAATATTCACGTAATTGCCATTAAAACAAAGAAAAATTAAAACAAATTTACATGCTCTTTGCAAATATATCGGTCGGAGTTGGTCTGTGACCGGAGTTATATTAACAAAATACCTACACAATTCGTTTACCATAGTTATAGTTGAGGCACCAAATTACTATATTGTTATTAACATTTTTTAATGTTACGATTCCTTACGAAATAAGTATATCGTAAAGCTGTTATGTCGTATTAATCTTAATGTGTATTTACTAAAATTAAGATAAAATAACTCAAATATTTGCATTTAAGTACAAATTTCCATTACGAAACAATTATCATAAAATAGTAATTTAATAATGACTAAAACGGTGGGTAAATAATTAAAAGGCCGAATAATTTTCAACACAAGTATATTGTTATGGTAAATTATTATTAAAAATCCTAGAAAAAACGGATGTTACAAACGATGGAAGGGAAAATTGCTGGCATTTCACAGTCAACACTTTCTACATTGCCAAAATTTTATAATCATAGTAATAAGAATATTTCAACATTTTTACTTTATAGCCAGTTTAAGTGAAATACTTTAATGATTGAGTTGAACACAATAAATAAGTTTGAATTTACTACTGGTAACATTTATTATGACTTGTTCCTTTGAATTATGATAACATAGAAAATCTACGATTAATATTAAAACTAACAGCAATGGTTCATTGTTTTAACTTACAAGGCACTTACACTTATATTACTAATATTTCTTCTTTAAAAATATTACTAATCTTATAAAAATATATAGGTACCTAATCTAAATCATATTACATACAAACATTATTGTACTTACAAAAAAATATGAAAATACAAAGTAGGTATCGGTAACTGATGCTACAGGAAGGAATTACATTAATTTAGATGTTTCTTAATGATCAAGACTCCACTGTCTTTGCTAATATTCTTTTATTCTCAGGAGTTTTACCATTTAGTTCTACAGCTTCCAAAACATTTTCATCGTGACTTTTGTAGGGAGCTGGACCTATCAATGATAAAATGACAGGTAGGAATAACAAGCCATTAAATAAACCAAATAATATGACAAGGAAAAATATCTTAAAGAAAGATTGAAATGTATATGCTTTCGACATACTTAGAAGAGATAAAGAAAGGAATGTCGAACCACCGCCTAGCAAAACCGCGCTGCCTATAGACGTGACTGTTTTGTAAGCTCTAGCGCCACGATCACCTTGGGTTATAGTTAAAAATGTATGCCCAACGTGTGCAGCATAATCGACACATAGACCAATTGCAAGTTCTAGACCAATGCAACACACGATATCAACTGTCATACCCCACCGTTGCATACCTCCTAATACATTAACAATTGTAAGTAAAACGCAAATGAATATCCATAGACACATTTGAAGATTTGTTATTAATATCACAGTGCAGAGCATGACACAAAGCAATGCTAGTTCTATGTTTCTCTCTACTTCAACAGCGATAACCTCGTCAGTGGCCCAATTTGCGAAAGCCTTGGACCACACACTACGGTAACCATCACCAGTAACTATGGATGTAGATTTTACAATGTCTTTAACGTGATTCATTGCAGGTATATATTCCTGAGGACCCTTGAAACTTGTGAACCTAAAAGATAATGTCGTGGCCGTTATATTATCAATAGCTTTACCACAACCATGTGGCCCTGATAATTTGAAATTTATTTGAAATCTACCTCCAACTCCACTATATATAAATCTGGACAAATAATTTTTAAATTGGCCTTCTGTAACAGAACTTGAATTCAGTAAGTCTTGATTAAAATTCTTTAAGACATATCCATGAAAAGTTTCTACCCATGTGACAACATCAGTTACATATGACTCATTCCTTAAAACCTGGATCATATCATACAAATTATTAAATTCCTTATAGTAATCCATATCTCCTAGAAAAACCATAGCTGGATAACCTTCATCAGGGTAGTAGTGTTCATGGGTGTTCAAAAATTGTTTATAATAAGTATCGTCAGGAATAAACCACTTAGGGTCAAACCTTTGTTCCAATTTTAATACAGATACTATATTAACACCTGTTGCTATTAAAACAAATAAGATGACTGTGGCTTTACCAGGAATAGTAAAAACAACATTTTTATAGAAAGTTTCTAAAATCTTTTGGAAAAATGTAGTTTTTGATGACACATTAACATCATTATTATGTTTGTAACAGAAAATAATTCCATTTCTCTTGTCACGAATCCTTTTTATGTCTATTGTGAAAACTGCTACAAAGAAAGTAACAGAATAACAAAATATGAAAAATACACCAACCGCAGCATAGATACAGAAGGATTTCAAAGAGGGAAGAATTGTTATGGCACCTATCATTAAAGCAACAATATCTGTAAAAGATGTAATTACTATTGATACACCTGCATGTTTCAGCATATGACCTACTTTAACAGGAATACTTCGATGTGACTCTGTTTGCAAAACTATTTTCCAACATGCGTTCATCACAAACATATCATCTACTCCCAGGCCCATGAGAAGAAATGGTAATGATGAGTGAACAGGGCCAAATGGGATACCAATCAAAGAACACCAGCCTACAGTAGTAATATATGCCATACCGACACTCAGTAAACCTACACTACCTAATGTCAACCTAATCTCTAGCCAATTGAAGCGAGAAACCGCCATCACAACATAAAAAAACATTAACATAATACCTATAGATAATTTATCCATGTCACTAAACATTGTTTCACCACTTATATCTGCAAAACTTCCTCCTGTTTCATAAAAAAATTGTATATTATTTGGTGATGATAAATTACTCACATATCTTAAATATTTTTTCTCCCACATGGCTAATGGGACTGTCACCCAGTCTTCCGTACCAACTAAGTTACCTACTTCATTAAGATCAACCTCTGTCATATTAACATACATATACCAAGTAATCAGTACTGACTTAGCTGACACTATAAGACCACTTTCATCACGCTGAATTCCCCCTAACTGCTTTGTATAATCAACAGAATGGCCAGTAATAGGATTTATTTTCACCTCATTAACATTTTTAATTATATCAAACTTAGTAAGATTTTTTATTAACATTTCATCATTTTTCCAAATATCTACAATACTATCTTGATAACAAGAATGTGAGAAACTCTCAATAAAACTACAATAAAAATCATTGTCAACTAAGAGAGATGGATCATAGTAATCTATTTCATACCCCTCATGTTTAAGTTTAGATTGACTATTATTAGATTTATCTGTCACCTCAGATCTAGCTTTCCAATGTGGACTAGCAAAAGCAACTACAGGTACTTTAAAACACAAGTCATTTTTAGAATATGTTCTATTATTATAATGAATTTGAATGGATGAGACTTCATTTGTGATATTGCTTAACAAATTTATAACATGTGGATCTAGTACATTGTCTGCAGTAACTAACAATTTCTGCATTCTTAAACTAGTTCCAAAATTATCTATGTACCAATTTGTGTCATAATAAAAGTCTGATTCTGGAGGCACCCATAATTTCATAGGATTCTTCTCTAAGTAGAATGTGTAAAGTCCACAGCAACTTAAGAGGACAAATATCCATGTTGCAGCTATTACCTTCCATGGATTCCTAGCTACAAACACGCCCAGAGAAAAAAATATTCTCTCAACAAATGTTACAAAGATTGAAGAAATGTTTTCCCATAGCTGCTGTGGAGACTTGATTTTCTTTTTACTAGGCATAGGTGATAATAAGCAAATCCAACAATTTTAAAGTTTCAATTCACTTCACGTAACTGTATCTTAATATTTTCACTACTTCACCAAATTTTCTTCACTCAAATATTTGTTTTATAACACGAGAGTTCATATTAGTATTATTGTTTATTTACATCTATCATTTTTTGTACTATAACTTCACGAGATTATATCGTGAATGAATTTGTACACAAATGCAACTTGTTAAAGTTCGTTTTGACACAATTCATAAATTGCATAGTGATTTGCATTTAAAGCATAATATTCTTAATTAAAAATATATAAAATAAACACGCGATTTAAGTAGGAACCGTGTACCGAAACGAAAGTCGTGTTCATCGTGTTACAAGCTACACTGAACTGAATCAGTGTCACTACACACTGATAAAATTGTACGTATAACTGCGAAGTGTGATAGGAAGGGATTACAATTACTTACGAAAACCGGTAACTGTTTAATAATTTTGCGCTAAGACGACGATTACGTAATAAGTTATTAAAACAAGTTTTGATATGAGAATTATAACGATTTTTTTAGTACAGTCAGAAAAAGACATTTTAAACGATTTATAGTTTGTTTTAGCCTTATGAGTTTACGGTTCTTTTAGAATACGTACGACATTGATGTCTAGAGGACTCGATCCCATAATCCCGAACATTTTTAAAGTCGTGAAATTATTAGGGTCAAATCTAATGAATCCCAGGATTTCTAGGATTGATACAAATTTTAAATAAGTCAATGAAAATTATCATGAAACTAATTACCTAAATGAAATGTAAAGATATTTGTGTAACAAATTAATAAGTATGCTTATTTTTCTGGTTTTAATAAGTAATTTATAGCTTTTGTTAATTTAAAAACATGACTACTAATAGAAATTAATTTTTTAACATATATTAAGTCTTCTTTTCTAGTTTATCTGATAAATTCAAAGTAGTTTTTTTTAAGTTTATTATTAGTTTGTTTATTTTATAGAAATGAATCGTGATTTTGTTTTACCACCTTTTGAAGTCTTAAAACTTAAGTAAATATTCGATGTTTTAGTATATTTTTATTATCCCTTTCCATTATTAATACAGCCCTGGAACTATTCTGGGATTTCAATATTAACTGCAGATAATCCCTAAATCCAGTGATAAAAATCGACCGGGAACGAAACGTCCAGTCTGTTCAAACTTACAAAGAATTTCAGCGCCAGAGTAATGTACAGAAATCGTGTTTTAGGCTTTCACCCACAAACAGTAAGTGCTCCTCGATCATCAAAGATTTGTTTGTAATGAGTATTGCTGTTTAAGCCCTGGCTCTTGGCAGAGTCACAGGAAGAGTGAGCAAGTGTGAAGACCCTATCTCAGACCAAAGTAGTCTAGCCGTATCACTAATATATATGATATAGTAATACAAACTTGGCAAAAAAAAACTATTTTTACTGTAATTATTATTTAGTTTATTCCTTAATATTATATATATTGAAGGCTGCATACATACATATATGATTGTGTATAGATGATTAATCTGTTGTATTTTTTCCCTCAAATTGATTTACCAGTTTAACACCTATCTATTTCTTAAAAATAAATGTTATTTTTAGGGTTGACTTGTAGAAGTTTTGAACAATTTACGATGTATAACTTATTTTAATGTCCCTACATCACTGGCAAATTTCATCAAAATCTGTTCAGCAGCTTTTGCATGACAGAGCAACAAACATCCAATATATTCAAATAAATTTTTGCATTAATAATTTTAGAAGGATCTTTCACAAATAACTTTGTAAGATTAAATGATATTCAAATGTGGTCATTAACTGTTTTTGATATAAGTAAAAAAATAATTAAAAACTCAAATTTACAAGTCAGTTACCTATTTCTGGATTAAAATTATCTTGGGGAGATAAAAGAAGCCCAGACGAAAACCCTGACCTATTTTCTTGCAACGAAAAAATCAAATTGTATAAATCAGTGCGAAATATAATTATAACGGCATACGACCATCGACATTTACCTACTAATGGACATGCCTTAGAGATGAGAATTTTGGCACTCCGAAAGAAAGGAAGGAAACCAAGTTTCGGTCTATTTTTATCTCTCTCAAAATAGTACCGTACTTAAGACGAACTACTATCGACTTTTTAATTGTTATTTTGCTGATTTAATGAATGTAACGATTTTATATTGTTTACTTGACATTAACAGTTAATTTTTAAAGAATGGTTTTTGCGGATAATTATGTAGTCAATATTATCGATATTTTTATGAGTTCCCTCTAGCGCTGTGAATGTTATAATCTGTTTCTTGTCTAATATACTTTTTATCGAACACGTGTAAAAACGCTCGAACAATCGCTAACGTGGTTTTGGGGGCGAAGGCTCCCATTGTATAAACTATCCCACCTATTTCACTTTTGGCATATTGGAGCTTGCTTTCTTAAAATTCAATACTAGGCAGTTTAATTCTCCGGAATAAAAATCCGTTAATATAGTGTAGTTTGAATTGAAGAGTAACTAAAGAGTTTCTTGTATAATCTCAATAGAACTACAATTGAGAACTCATGAACTATAGTTTAATAAAAATATTATTTGACTTTGACTTAATTCAAAGTTTATTTATACACTAAAGGAATATTATATATGTAGCAATATTAAAACAAAGTAATTGTGACCTAGAACAAGCGCTCTTATCTTAATAGCTAGTGGGCGGTAAATTAGTGATAAAATAGATGGCAGTATTATTTATAATTAGTTCTAATATTACTAAACATGATAGTTGCTATATTTTTAAGAGCATGGTTCTTAAAAGTATTTAAATATAATTTCCGAATTTATTTGTACGTTTCTGACCTTCAGAGATATTGTTGATATTTTCTTTGTTCAGAGATGTCCTAAGCAAAATTTTATCTTTTTCTTTAATAAATTCCTGAGAAAAGTTTCGGTATATATTATTTTTTACTTCATAATGTTAAGTGTTCACAAGAGTTGAAACATTTAACAAATAAAAAAATATATATTAACATTTTATTACGAATTTTTTCATAAAAAAATACCACTTACCTAATTGGTGTCGATTGTTATATGCCAAATTTTTACAGTTTGAAAAACGATATATTCGATAAAAATGATTGAATTACTCAAAAGTATTCAATTCAAAAGTAAACACTATCTTTTTTCACAAACAACACTGATATGTTACATTATATTATTTATTTTTAAAAATATCACTGCTGGTATATTACAGACCGACGTAAATGTCGTCTCAAGTCAGGGATTACTTATGGAAAGTATTGGAAATCATTGATATATGAGACTGAAAGTCATAAAAATGCTATATAATCCCTCCGGTCACCGATTATTTAGAATATTCCAAACATTAACGATAAACTTAACTAAATTTTCTAAAATTATACGACTAACAATGTTATATACATAAGCATATAAATTTTCATGAGTGATCCAAATGGTTTCTAGTTTGAATTAATTTTATATATTTTGGAAACTGATATCAAATTGATTAAAATAGTTAAACAGTGTTAATATCAGTTTCAAGTGTTTGGGAATGTTTTTAATATAAACACTCATACAAGTTTTAGTGTAATCAAATGTAAAAATTATTACATCATATAAATAACCGCCACTATTTAAAACTTTATATGACCGACGGTGGTCACCTATTGCTTGTTATTAATCGTGATATATGCGTAGGTACGCATGGGGTCAGTTGCTGATTGGCCAGTAACGTCGGATAGTATTACTCTTTTAAATATTACGTACTTCGGAATGGAATGTGGTTCAAAAGTCAATCTTACTTTTTAGCGGTATCTTTCCAGTTTTCTAAAGCAATCGGCATCAAAACTGATCTTTTAAAATTATATTTCGGATGTAATGATTAAATAATAACTTTATATTTTACTATATTTATATATTATAATATTTTTAAGGAGCCATGATCAATTACTTATAAAAATAATTAATTCCTTTAATATTTTGAGTCCTTAACTGAAGACTCACTTGTTTGTCAATTAACGATTGAGTACGTGCGTTTTAAATTTAACTGAATTAAATCCATTTGATCATTTGACAATATCTAGGACAAAATACTGGACCTAATACCTACTGGCTACTGTTAATAGTCGACCCATCATTGATACCGGAAGATGCTCATCATCCTGATTCCTGTGCTTCCTTTAGATATAGTTTCAGTTGCTACTTATTTAAGACCGAGAAGGCATATTCTTCGTCAATTTCATACAGCGAATTGTTTAATTGAGAAATAAAGAAAAATATTGGTACCGCGCTTGGTATCGGGAGCTCCGTGACAAGAATATTGAAAAAGTAGTAGACATTTTTTACAGCATAGTAAACTTGATTATGGAAAGCTTTATTCAGGTTATTACCAGGTTTTCCGTCCTTTTATGACTTATTAAATGTTCATAGGACATGGAAATCTATGGTCACACTTCCGTTTACAGCATGTTTTCAGAATTTCCAGCTCAAACAAATGTCTTCAAAATTCAAATACCTAGTTTGCCTTAAATTGTTTATAGACATTCAATCAAACTCCAAACTATTATGGTACTTCATTAAATGTAAAAGTCCAAGATTTCTGACGAAAAGATAGGTATGTAATAAGTATAAGTAAACATAAACATAACATACCTGCTAGTTAATTTAGACAAACGGCCAATTTTCACATACCAGGTGCCACAGATAATTAAAAATTAAACTCAAATTATTTATAGTCTGAGGCCTGATTTTACTTACCTATGTTGTAGGCAGTGGCGGCGTAAGGCGTGGGCGACGTGGGCCACCGCCTACGGCCTCGCGGTACAAGGGGCCTTGCGCCTCCAAAATTTTAGAGAATTAAAAAAAAAATCTTCTTCCTAGGAATTTCCCAGCTATAGCCAGGGTCTGCCTTTCATGTTGTGATTAGTTTTGGCTATTTGCTTTTACGACCGGTCGTCTGCTTGACATCAACCCTCTTTGGGAATCAGAATTAATTAAACCTATTTTGATAAGAATAGTGTGTTCAATGTTTTAATAATATTTAGCGAATAAATAGATAGTGTTTAAGTATATTGATTGCCCCCGAACAGTGACGTTTTTTAATTGTTTTTGTTTTCTTTGTGATTTGTAATACACCGGTACCTGTACTCGTCTATTTTACATAAAGTAACAAATATTTAATTGGTGATAAGTACGTAACGCAGTAATTACTTGTCTATAAAATAGGCTTTCTAATATCTTTTGAAGGAAACCAAAGCTTTAAGTGTAAAAAAAACATCGACGTTTAAGTTTTTAAAACTAGCTGGTAGTAAGAGCTTCAGGTTTCCATAGAATAGGGCCTCGCGAAATCTGTCTTGCCCACATCAAATTTAGGTCTTGCCCCGCCACTGGTTGTAGGAAATAGTAAAATATCCCCTACAAAATTAATTCTGTTAGGCACCTTAGAATTTTTTGTCAGACACTTAAAAAAACACAAAATGCACTTAAAAAGTCTGATACCTGATTTTCTACTGTACTCTTCTATTGAAATGTATTTTCTGAGGTTCCAGATCAATCCTAAAAGCCTTAAAATATATTTATATACGTACACATGCACACCCACATTGCATACACTGCGCAATCTAGTGCACGTACAATGGTTTTCTGCTCTTATTCAGTTTCACTTTAAATATGGTTAAATATTGAGAAAATGGTTGGATACTAAAATCCCTTAATTAAGACAACATATTTTAAACCAAAATTTCGTTTGTAAAAGATAATTGAATCTAATTTATGTAAATTTTTATGTGATATTGAAAGCCATGGAAGTAAGATGTACACCGATGATTCTACAATCTTTCGAAAAGACTAATCACTATTCATAACTAACAAATAAATAACTGAGTAGACGGCAATCTACTTATATGCATATTTTCCTACTCCATAGGCCATGCATAGTCCCATAGGACCACCTACCCCTCCTAGTGACGCTGTCAAAACCAATAGGGTTGACAGCTACAGTCAAGTCAAACAAAATAAAAGGGCCATGTACCAAAGGGCTCTCACCCTGATAACTTAATATTAAATATTTATATCAACGACCTAATTAGTAACTGTGACAATTCCAGTTCCTTTTTATGCTCATGATACCAGTATATTTGAAAATAGTCAGGAATCTATACTAATATTATAAAGCTGAAGAGTTTGTTTGTTTGTTTGAAAGCGCTAATCTCCGAAACTACTGGTTCGAATTGAATAATTCTTTTTTTTGTTGGATAGTCCAGTTATCGAGAAAGGTTGTGAGCTATATAAAATCACGCTACAACCAATAGGAGCAAAGATATAGTGGTAAATGTGTAAAAAACGGGAGAAATTATTTCACCTTTGAAGCCTTCCTTTGCGTGCGCCGTGAAAACGGTTCAAGATACACAAAAAATATGTATTAAAGAATAATAGCTCTTTTAATGATCTAAAAACAGTCCGCGACAGTATATGTCTATCTTTTAAGATTAACTCACAAAAACCGTTTTTATGGTACCTAATTTGGTCGAAGTAATTTGTTTAAGTTGTATCAACATAATAATATTAATCTTTATTCAAATAAACAAATAAATATGTTGTTGGTTAAGAGTACTTCATTGGGAATAAAATTGTCTTTGACATAACTTAATTTCAACAAAAAACTTTAAAGATTACAATGATAAATAACTCCGAAACAAAACCAACTCGCTCTCTGCGCTGGCCGGCTCGACGGGAGAGAGTAATATTACTTTTTAAACACAGTTTCATTTTGTAGTTGTTTTCTATATAGTAGGTACTTTATTTGTTTTAGGATAGTATTTAGTTACACAATAATAACACTTTTTTTGTTTTCATATAGATTATTAATTTATAAGTATGTGTTTTCTATAAGTATCTATAGTACTGTTTGTTTTAAAAATAGTATTTAGTTTCTAATATATTTTTTTTGTGCTACATAATACCTGTAGGTACCTAAATAGGTGTCGCCTACTTAATTATTCTTATTAGATTAGGGTTTAGTTAATTGTTTTTAGTTTCTATTTTTTTTTGCTTTAGATAAAACCTGTAAATAGGTGTGGTCTACCTATTTATTCTCATTAGATTAGGGTAAAATTTAATCATAAAGTTAGTTTACCTCATTTTCATTTTACGGTTGTTCTTTTGACATAATCGTTAAAATAAAAGTAATTACTAATTATTATCTTCTTAATCTTACGTTTCTTTTTTTTATTACGAGATACGCTTTAGTTAAGTTTTAATTTTCTACGTTTTTTCTTCATCACTATATGCCGAAAAAAAGAACTCAGCTTTCTCGGCAGACTGCTACTGCAAAGCGGCTGCGAGTTTTGCGCAGCAATGCAATGAAAATATGACGACAATCGAGCCGCTTTGAAATTATTCGTAAAATAGTCCCGCAAAAACGTTGTATGCGTCACAAAATTTCCCTATTTTTCGAACCGGCAACTATCGAGTGCTGATCGTTCTCAAGATCGGGTTGTGGCGAAAACCAATATGTTCTTCTGCCACAAGATAATAAAACAAAAAAAAGTATATGCAGAAGTTCTTTAAAATAATTAAATTTACCATATAAGTTAGGGAACTCGAAAAAAAATTGGTTTTATCCTGAAAATTCTGCGGGAACTCGACCATTCCGAAAATCCCGCAAGAATGGGAACTATGTGGGAAAAACCAAAAATCTGCCGGAAGTCAATATTCCACGCGGATGAAGTCGCGCGCAAGAGCTAGTTAAAAATAAAATACAAAATTAGGCAGATTTGACTTCCAAAACTATTGTATTGTATGCATCTGAATTTAGAGGAGCTGCATTATTAAGTTTTACAGAGATACAATTTTATATAATTCCACTTCAATGGATCATAATACAAATACGAAAATGTTGAATCTTTTATGGAGTTGAAAAAATTACAATAAATACCTATAACCCGACATGGGTTACATATCAAGACAAAAAGCAGACTTCAGTTATGCCAGTTCATTTCTTTTATACAACGGCTCATTTAATTCACATTTAAAATATCCATGGACTATATTAAATAAAATGTATGTTAAGTATATAAATTAACTTTATATACCATTACCTCCGCCTTTCAGCTACTATAAGCATAAACAGTGCTACTCACTGATTCTTCTCCATATGAATAAAATACGTCAAATCCCGTGTTTTATGTAGAAAGTATGTTTGTGTGAAAAATTCATTCATGTGATAACGAATGAAAGACACGCCTTGCATCCTATTCATTTGAAAAGTCGTTAAAACTTACCGTGTGTTGTAAAGCGACTATTTGTTTTGGTAAATCTTATTGTTGATAGTAAAGCGAATTTACATGATGTTTTAAGATAAATAGATGTTTTTTTTTTAATATTTATAATATATTTATACATTAAAAATAGTTTCTGTGGATCTGCTAACACCACAGAAAATTAAAACACGTTGAATTCTGGTAATAGACCAAAAACCAAGAACTTTGAGACCATCAAATAATTTTTATCTTTGAAATAAATATTTATATAAAAATATCTAAATACTAAAATAAATAAAAATAGAATAGCATTTGTAAATATGGGAAAACGGACCTGTGTAGGTACCTAAAGGACAGCATTGTAATAAAAAAAAGACATGACAAATTATTGAATTCAATACACACAGCAATACAGGCGTCCTATATGTAAAACAGTGTTTCTTTGAAACATGTAATAGTTATTCTTTTAGATCTTCAAACGTTCGTAAATCATACCAATAGGAGCAGCTGATGTTGAAATAATTTGTTTTGTTTATTCACAAATATTTTAATTACTTACTTCCTTTATACTATTTTTCGGCAAATAATTGAAGCAAATTTTTGTCGTGTTTAACATGCCATAGACGGTAAAACACAAGATTTCAAATGACTTAACACAGTTCATTATTCACTACCATCAAATAAAAAAAAGCATTTATTTCAAGTCACTTATATAAAATATTTTCTGGATCACAATATTGTGAAATTATAAAAATCATTCAATTATCTATTAACAAGTACTATCCTAAATATAAAAGTGTTACAACTATTCCCAACATTTCTTTTCAAAAATTGTCACCAGTTGGCGCTTAAAACAAAATGAAACTCTTTATGAATACATTGCAGGACTATGTCTTACATTTGGCCCAAATACATTACGACAAATGAAAAGCATATTACTGTTATATCTGAAAATTTTTCCGATATCACAGTAATATGCTTTTCAGCTGTTGATTTTCAGTGACTATTTTATCATGATTAAAAATATAATTATTTTATGACTTTCAAATAACTAAAATTAATTAATCACATAATTTTGAGAACCATATCTAAGAATTTCATTCTTAAGAATGAAATTCTTAGATATTTTAAAATTAATTCATTATTAACAATAACAATTACAACTGCATTTCTATCTTCCATGTCTTTTACACAAAAGGTTACTTGGAAGTAATTGTTCATTAACAATAATGTCAAATCTTTGTAATTATATTTTGTAGCATGTCATACCTAAATTACTTTTTGGGGAGTATAACAAAATATATTCTATCTATCTATGTCTAAATCACTTAAGGTTCTTAATTGGTTCACCTATACAGGCTTTAATAATTGTTGCTGCTTCGCGTTGTCCGATGTCATCTAATAACAACGCTAAAGACTTTGAAGACACACCATCATTGCAACTCTGTAATATAATATTTACTTTTCATGAAATCTAATAGCAATAAGGCAATTATGTTTATGTAACCAAATAAATATATACCACGATTAATCTTTATGATTGTTTCATTTTGTATTTCAAAATGTAAGCAAATATATACATCTATTAATAGTACCTTAAGATGATCTAAGAGTGTTTTTGTGGGACTGTCTGCGGCTTTATACCAGGAGCAATAGGAATCCTTATCAAGCCTTCTCATTAATTCCTTCCAACCTCCATTATTATCAAGTAAGACTGCAACTCGATTGATATACATTGGTAATGCTGTAAGATCCGATTCTGTATCCTAGAAACAAATTCAATATAAACAAGTGTTCCTTATGCAAGATGTTCGATTGGCAAGAAACATACACTGAGAAGATGGCCGCATTGTGTATACGAAAAAAAATAAGATTGTTGTATATACATATACAGGGTGACTGGTGAATTACTATCGATATTTAAGGAGAATACTCGGTACATGATTCTCATTCGAATTATGTAAAAAAAACAGGTACTTAATTTTTGACCAAATTTCCGTATAAATAAATAAAGCGTGGACACGTTCCAAGTGTGGACGCGTGCGGCGGCGTGCTGATAATTTGTAGGGTGTTCACACGATGCGTAATTAATTACATAACTTTTGGTTAACTGTACTTAGAAGTTTATTAATATTTATGTTATATTAATTTTTATTTTGTCATATATGATCGTCAAATATCACGCCCTCAAATATCGATAGTAATTATAAATCGCCCTATAAACAAGAAATATCTGCTACGTTTTTTTATTTATAGTTTTGGAGTTTTTTATTTATATTTCTTATAAGATCTCACTGAATAAATTTTATGGAATTTCATTTAACATACACATAGACTGTATGTTATAAAGATATAGTTGATTTCCAATCACTTTTAAATACAGGAAATGAATGCGTATTGATGTAAAATTACATACAACAATTTGATTAAAAGCAAAGACTTCAGCTTTGACTACTTGCGATTTTGTTTTTTTTTTAACATTATTAAATATAATAATCGCTCTTAGTGAGTACAAAGTAAAGTTACCTTTTCTTCTGAGTCATATTCGTCGTCCGGCTCAGATTTAATATCTAATTCTATATTTTTTTCTGGACTAATATATTTTTCCATAAGTGTTGCTAGTTCTGGCTTATCTCGCGCCAGTCTCCATGCAGAATGGTTGTTTTCTTCGTGTTTCAGAGGATCTGCCTGAAAATTTAACAAAATAATAATAGAAACAATTTACGACACAAGTGGCGCCCTCCGTGCCGAACTACTTATAATATATTACATACAATCCTTTGAATTATTTCTACTAATTAGATATATTACTGAACCATTGTCATTTTATAATGGCAATATTTAAGAATCAACTTGTATTTGACAACTATAAATAATTATTGGCTTCAGCCATTCTGTAAGACATTACTGGAAGTAACGCTGAACATTAAAAAACAGGACTGAAACTGTACCTTGGACATTATTTTACGAATTTAGAATTAGATATAAGTAAGATTATTTTTAAAAGATGCATCAAAGAAATTCAAGGTTCATTTATAAAGATACCAATATTTAGAATAACAAAAGATATTTTCTCGAATATTGTGTGTGTATTACCTTCTTGTCTAGTAAAAGTTTAACAATCTCTAAAGTGTTTTCTCTCATCACACTATCGCAGGCAATCTGAAGTGCTGTGTAGCCTTTTCCATCCAAGGCGTCTACATCCACCTGAAGTAAAATAAGATAATAATTAAATAAGAAATACCTCATAACACTATAACGATTCATACATTATTTTAATTGCTAATAAGTTGGGAGAAAACAGTCTAGCTTATACAGCCACGTAATATTTAATTTCCTTTTTATACTTACCGGCTTCTCTAGCAGTTCAGTGGCTACTGACAAACAGTCGTCAAGTACGGCGAGGTGGAGGGCTGTACGACCGTCTCCATCGCGAGCGTCCCACTTGGCACCGGCAGATAATAACAAGGCCACGCTCTTACGACAACCGTACACCGATGATAGATGTAAAGCTGTCTGTTTCTCTGTAAATTATATTCATATATGAGATCTAAGATTTACGCGAGATTTAATCATTTAAATGAAACTAATATTTTTCAGATTTTATTTTTGTAAAAACTACATACTCCCGACATTTTGGCTACTTTTTAGCAACCGTGATCACGGGCAGACGAGATGGATATACAGGGTGACTGGTGAATTACTATCAATATTTAAGGAGAATACTCGGTACATGATTCTCATTCGAATTATGTAAAAAAAATAGGTACTTAATTTTTGACCAAATTTCCGTATAAATAAATAAAGTGTGTACGCGTTCCAAGTGTTCCAAGTGTGGACGCGTGCGGCGGCGTGCTGATACAACACTACGCCGCCGCCGCGTCTGTGTGAGTGTGTGTGTATACCTAATCTGTAGGGTGTTCATACGATGCGTAATTAATTACATAACTTTTGGTTAACTTTACTTAGAAGTTTATTAATATTTATGTTATATTAATTTTTATTTCGTCATATATGATCGTCAAATATCACGTCCTCAAATATCGATAGTAATTCACCAGTCACCCTGTATATATTACATTTATTTTATTGGATACTTTGATTTTATCATATTAAAACACGAGGATTGATCCTCCTTAACATAATGATTTATCGCTTGAGTCAGTTTGACTATGGCCTTTATTAGCTGTTAAAACGTCAAGCAAGGTAATAAATGGTCGCTTAAATCCCGCTTTTAAATATAAGTGATAATGACACGCCAAAATTTTTTCTTCACTTAAGTAATAGTATTAAGATAAATAAATTAAGATTTTTATTTTTTTTATTTAAACAAAGATGTTTTGAATTTAATTTGATATAAACTGATCCATAATCATACTGATGTGGTTGTATAATAAAAATCGAATAATTAAAATACTATTGTTAGTTATATATGTTAGACACAATAACTGTACTGGCAAGGTAATCGTTTATTTTATATTGCCTACACTTTCATATGTGATAAAATATAATGATTTTTAGTAATTTTTGAATGGCAATCCCAAAAAGTATTTTTAGTTGGAGTAAAATCTAGGTGAACTCTAAAATTATATTCTTAATTAGTATCAAAGGCCTAATAATTTCGTCTATACATTGGCCAACAACATAAGATAAATTTTGTATTTAAATCGACAGAATGTATCAGATTAATATCTTTTCATTTACAAGTTATAACATATTTAAGTGCGACTTTAGTGTCTTATACTATATGTATAGTAAATATATTAACAAGTATAACTTACCATTGTTGTAAGCGTTTATATCGTAGCTGATGTTATTATTCTTGATGGATTCTAAAAGAGGTCCAAGGCAAGTCTGACATATGACAGCATAATGAAGTGCATTATTTCCTTCATTGTCTTCTTCCATCGGATTACAACCTGTAATGTTATTATTATTACAAAACTATAAATAAGTCATTAACAACTTGTATAGTAGTAAAAATATAATATGAGAAACATAAAGTATAGTATACAATAACTTTATGACTTCAGTGAAATTAACCTTTTAGTTGGAATTGAAATGAATAGTTTATTCTTTCTTTCGTAAGAATAAGATATACAATAAATGACAGTTAACAATTTTGTTTTATTGTATAAGCTTTGCACTTTAATAATAAAATTCTTGTATTGTTTAAGTCATCTATTATTAACTTTTAATATTCAATAAACTCTTGAAAACTATTTATGTTTTCTTGATTATATTTTATAATAGAAAGTGAAAGTTTATCCGAACAATTATTAAAGAAATTTGATGAATTAAAAGAACTTTTTACCTTTTGATACAAGGAAAGAGACTAATTTCGGCGAATCATTGATAATAGCCAGATGTAATACAGTCTGCATTTGATTGTTCTTTAAGTTTAACAACTTAGTCATCTTCATATTATAAATCAACTTCACAATATACTCCAAGCTCGGCTGATTACTACTCAAGGTCAAGTGGAGAAAACTGTAACGAATAGATATGTATAAATATTAATATTATTAGAGTTAAAGCAATTTTAGATACATAAATTAACGTTCAATTTAAAAATAAATCTTGATGGGCCTATTACAATTAAATTAATTCATACTTTTTAATTTTGTAATAAAATGTAATTCCTGGAAGAGACACTTAATGAATCATTGATCATTATCATAAAATATCATTTGGGAAGAACAATTTTTGTTTCTAATTGGTCGTGCAAATCAGGACTAAATTTTGTCCCTTTTGTATGCATAAAATAGATATATACAGGGTTACAGATTAAGTCGACCGAAATCCTTTAAGAGAGGATAGATTACATCATTCCTAACCGATTTGACTATGGAACCCCATATCCAAAACCTAACAATTCTCAAGTTATTGGCTTTTGAATTTATTTTACAAAAATTACAGATTTTTTGTCGATTGCCCCTTTATTTTTGTTTTGTGGCCCAATTTTGTATTATTTTTGCTATTTTTGTGTAGAAGATTAATTGCTTTATTATTATAAGCTACAAAACTGCCAGTAACTATACCAAATGAGTCGTAGTAAACAGTCATTTGTTAAAGAAAAAAAAAATAATTTAAAAAAAATATTTCTTCTTTGTATGATATATTAAAAAAAGTCTATGACAAATGTACTGCAGATGTGCTAAAAAATATCTACGGCTCTTCAGATTTCCGATAAGGTATAATAACATAGGGTATTATTAGACTTCTCGGAAAAAAACTTTAAATAAAGACGCCCGAGTAACAAACGTTAAGCCGCTTGCAGCGCCTATTGTCCTGCAATGGGTTCTTGCAATGTAAATAGGTACAAGAGGGACAGGTAATAACTATTTTGTTATTTAGGATATGGGGTTCCATAGTCAAATCGGTTAGGAATGATGGAATCTATCCTTTCTTAAAGGATTTCGGTCGACTTAACCAGGGTAACAACCCTGTATATACAATGAAGATATGAATATATATCGAAGGGTTCCGTTTTGTGTGAAATAGTTTGTTTTAAAGTTTTAACATTGTGATTATTTTTGTAATTTTCATAATTTAAACAAAAAGGCACATTTTGAAAAACATGTTGTTATTGAATAGTTATCTTAATTTTCGATTATATTTCATTAGTCCTCTTTTTACGGAACAACCTGTGCTGTTTTTTTATTTATAAAGGCTGTTGCCATACAACATAGATAAATGTTATACAGGGTGTCCTGCTATACGTTAACTAAGTCTTACATAGGGTGTTTTGTGATGTCACAAAAGTATATTACTATACACTCACGTGTCACCATTGGATAGTCTCATCTCGAACAGCCTGTCCAACTTGTTTCTCACATCCTGCTTCTTACAACCATCCTTGTTCCTCATCATTTCACATAGTTCCTTGATGAGCTACAAATACACAAGCCATTTATAAAACTTGATTGTGTTACGCAAACGCAGACTACACGACATACTAATGTATAATTTATACTTACTTGTGTTGAACTTATAAATTAGTTATGGACATATTAAGGAAAACAAATGGATGATTCAAAAATCTTTGGTTTATTTAAAAAACTACAGATATGTTTATACTTTTACAAAATATCATAAAAAATAACGAGATTCATAAACAATGTTTTTATATGATGATAAACTTAAAAATAATGATTTATTACAAAAAAAAAATAACAAATATAAAAACGAAACTGTAAGTATCGATATCGTTACAATACCATTAAGTATATAAAAATTATAACCAAGTTATATAAATGGCATCTGTATATTTTGCCTGTGAAAATGACCAATTTTATACTTGATCATTATGTTCATGACAATTACCTATATATTTGTACATTTTGATATGAAAAATGAGCAGGTTACATGTGGTCACATGTCTTAATTGCATGAATTGAGACGAATTAAAGGGTGAAAGGTTTGATTGTTGTTAAAAAGTGTTACATCTGCAATATGGGGATTTTTGTTAGGGTGAATCGTGACAGGGAATCAACATTTACCAAAAACACTGCCAGTTACTTACTTTCTGAACTTCAACACCGTCTTCAGCTTTGTAGAGCGCGGAATATTCACTTGGTGGTTTTCTTATGACTTTGTTTTGCGGGTCATCTTTTATCTCCGCCTTCACTGATTCCTTGCAGTTTGTTTTCTATAAAATATAAATATACCTTTAACTTATTTATCTTTATGTATGGTTTTCTTCAATATACAAAGTGACTGGTGAATTACTATCAATATTTAAGGAGAATACTCGGTACATGATTCTCATTCGAATTATGTAAAAAAAATAGGTACTTAATTTTTGACCAAATTTCCGTATAAATAAATAAAGTGTGGAAACGTTCCAAGTGTTCCAAGTGTGGACGCGTGCGGCGGCGTGCTGATACAACACCACGCCGCTGCACGCGTGTGTGTGTGTATACCTAAACTGTAGGGTGTTCACACGATGCGTAATTAATTACATAACTTTTGGTTAACTTAGAAGTTTATTAATATTTATGTTATATTAATTTTTATTTTGTCATATATGATCGTCAAATATCACGTCCTCAAGTATCGACAGTAATTCACCAGTCACCCTGTATATTTCTATCACTCATGCGCTGTTTTGAATGAAGTAGACTTAATTGAAAGCAAAATTATGTGGTATATAAATATAACCACCGAATGCATGGTTAATAAAAATATTGTATTTTGATTAATTAGACATTATTTTTGATATAAATAATTACAAGACGTGCTTTAAAATAGTTTGTTAAATACAAAGTTTTTACAACTTGCAAAACATCTGCATAACAACAATACAAAACATTTCTTTTATGCCCTTAATTTTATGATTTTACAAACATTTTATTTTGTTTCCAAAAAGATTATATTTTATTTTTTCTTTACAAATTTTAAGAAAAGACTCTTTTGTCTAAATAGACGTCTATTGTTTCACCTTCATAAACATCGTTTATGACCTCAGTAAAGAGAAGGAGACAAAGAAATAAATACCACGCTAATTGACCCATATGGGCCCCTAATGCTATCTCACTCTGTCAAAGCATGTTTCTCTATATTTGTCACCTCTATTATCGTCATATTGACAATACACCCTAAAACACTTGCAACTTTGCAACCAATCAAGAAACGTGAAAGCATCACTTCTAAATGCAGTGACTTAGGCAGTAAGTTACGAAATTAATCTTTGACAAAGTTACAGTCAGTCAACCGGTAACAGTCAATCGATAACCGTGAAACAGTTCACATATACAAAAACAATGTCTCCGCGAACATCTTGCTCCAAACTTTTAAATTCAAGTTAACTATTTTATGTATCAATTTGTGCATTAGTTAATATTCGTTAAATTAATGTGTTCGTTATTAGTTTAATTTAAAACTTAAACTAAATAAAACATCATCACAACCAAATAACCAGCTAACAAATTGTGGTGAAGAACTCTAAGGCCTCGGCCTCGAATTTTGCGGGCAGCGGAGCGGCGGCGGGAGCGGCAGGATCTTACGCGTATAATCAAATGGACCGACCCTCGAATACAGCGGTGCCCACTACCCGCTAGTTTGGAGAACAGTATGCGTTGCCGTGCCGCCGCCGCCGCCGCTCCGCTGCCCGCAAAATTCGAGGCCGAGGCCTAAGAGACATTTTATAGTCCTTCGAACCGGATACGCGACAATTTTATTATTAAACATCGAAGAAGTACCATAAAACTATATACTGATTCAGATATTTCATTTCATCGTTGAGTTGAAAAAAATAACGTTAAAATGTTTTAATAGTTACTTTAATGAAATACAATTAATTTGTTTTTTTTTATTTCGTTCTGGGTGTAAGATTAAGTTTCTTGATAGCATTCATTTAATTGTACATCTACATATATATTAATTAAAATATGTTGCAAACACACTATTTTTCACGTAATAATGTCGAGGACAACTATATTGTTGTTATGTATATACAAATATATTGTATTATCCACGGTAAGTCTGTTTACATTTTTTATCTTCTTTCATTGGATACTCTTTGTTTGGAATGGGCTAATGCTAGTTATAAAAATCTATATTAAATTCTAAGAAATAAAATTTAGATAATTAAATACCTTCTCGATTCGTTTTCCAGAATCGGAGACCATCATTGACGCTTTGATCCACTCCATCGTGCTGGGCTGAAAGTTTAATAATTAACTATTACTTTTATACTTTAAAACGATATATAGTATAATGTAAATAAATAAGAACTGGGTATACCTCAACTCCGTCATATTGTTCGAAGTATTCTGTAATTTGTAAAATCAAGATTTATTTATTAATAATTTTTGTTAATTTCAAATTAATGTAATATAGCAAACCTATAATTACTTATATGAGGTTAACGTGTTATCATCCAATGCAATACTCACCGGAGAGTTCAGTACTGAAAAATCGTTTCTTATCTTCACTGAGCAAATCGATGTCTTGCTCAAGAACTCTGTCCAATTCAGACGAGTGAAGTTGCAGTACGGGAGGTTCGGGCACGTTCGGTTGACTCAGGAGAGGGCTCATAGCTTTGGATTGGATGGGATTTGAACCCACACACGAATGCAATAAAGCTTCCGCCATCATAGAGTCATCTGTTGGGGCTATTTGATTTTGAGGTACCTGAAATTAGTTTAGGATCTATCATACATTTAACATTTAGGATTAAATCAGTTAGACAATATAATTATTAACTAGTTGCTCAACTTAACTTCGATCGTAGTTTATAGAAATCAAAACTTTGTTTTTTTTTGTCATGAGTAAACAAGATTTTATTACATAATTGAAAGTCAAATATGTCGATGTTCTCCTTCAGACGTGAGTACTTGACGGTCTTAGTGATCGTAACAACCTTTCTGTCCACCAGCCATCTAAGTACGGCCCGTGGTGTAGTGTTATGGTGTGTGCGTGCTATGGCCGTGAGTATAGGATCATTGATGGTGGGTCCGCGGAAGGTGTGTCCGTAGCGGCTGACCAGCGACCCGAACGGACTGAAGCTTATCACACGCTGGTGTCGCTGAGCGAACTATCAGCTAATACTGTATTAACTGAGGGTGGATCTCTATCTGCAGCGTCACAGGTTTGATGCTGCCCTCGGTGAGGACCCTCTGTATCGGGTGCTGGTTGAAGTTGGACAGGCCTATGTTCTTAGCGAGCCCGAGCCTCACCACCCCCTCCAGCCCGCGCCAATAGTCCAAGTAGTCCACGGCTGAGTGAGTGTAGTTCTCATTGAGCCCCATGGGCCAGTGCATGAAGAACTGTTCGATGTGGCTCAATGAGAACTACACTCATTCAGCCTTGGACTACTGACACTTGGCGCGGGTTTTAGGAGGCGGTGAGGCTTGGGCTCGCAAAGAACATAGGCCTGTCCAACTTCAACCAGCACCCGATACAGAGGGTCCTCGCCGAGGGCAGCATCAAACCAGTGTCACTACAGATAGAGATCCACCCTCAGTTAATCCAATCGGAGCTGATAGTTCGCTCAGCGGCACCAGCATGTGATAGGTTTCAGTCCTTTCGGGTCGCTGGTCAGCCGCTACGGACACACCTTCCGCGGACCCACCATCAATGATCCTATACTCACGGCCATAGCACGCACACACCATAACACTACACCACGGGCCGTACTTAGATGGCTGGTGGACAGAAAGGTTGTTACGATCACTAAGACCGTCAAGTACTCACGTCTGAAGGAGAACATCGACATATTCGACATTCAATTGAGCGACGAAGAATTTGAAAGCATCAACTAGTTCGACGAGAAGGTCCGCTACACCTTCAAGTGGTTTTGGCAAATACAAGATTTTATTTTTTGATAATGATGATTAGTAAATCAATGTAATTGAATTATAATTTAAATATCTTATTTATATGTAATAGGGATGTTTAGTGATACTTTCGTAACGGTGTGCAAATAAAAATATAGAAAAACACATGTTTTAATTGAATATAACTTAGTAATTTAATTGAATTTAAAGTGTAGAAGCAACATTGCCTCTTATTTTTTACTGAGCGGTTCTCCTTTTGGTTAAATTACACTGCTGCACACTTATTATTATTGGTATTGATTTTTAACTTAATATTTGTCCTGTTGTAGTTGTAGTTATGTTAATTTATTTTCCTTATTTGTATACATAGGATAAGTGAAACTCTGTTTTTATTTTGTTGTTTGTTATTTGTTTTGTAGTAGTGTAATCTTTTGACCAATAAACGTTTGTTAATTATTATTACTATTATTTTAAATAAATACGACATGTCATGTTCAACATATTTATCGCGTGACTGCAAATACAAATTAGAACTATCACGTTACTAACCACTAAACAATCTGTCAAAGACTGTTAACTTCCACTGCTTCTCTGCGTTTTATAATTTATTTACAATATTAGCAAAGAATTAATCTTCATAAGTCAGTAAGTAAGATTAGGTTAAATAAGTTCGTAGCAGCTTGTTTGGTGAGTTGTTTCAGACTTTACAGAGCACTAGGGATAAAGAGATAAATATAGTTATACGGATAAAGCTGTTTTGACAATTAAATGACCAAAATGTGCGTATGTGTGTGTAAGTTTATTCACATGTGTGTGTAAGTGTCGTGTATACCATAAACCCAAAGTTCTCTTTACGCCATAATCAGTCATTATTACTGTGGCTGAAGACTTCGTAACGCTATGCACGTAACGCTGCTACAATTTTTCTAGCATGACGTTTTCTTGATTAATTTATACTTTGTCACATGAATAAACCATTTTACGGGAGTATTAATGTGTACTAGTACACATGGGCGCTACATACGATTTTTTTTACTTGGTGTTCATTTTGATTGCTGTATTTAATTAAAATAATAAAATACATAAACTGGACGTAATAGATACAGCATAGTTATGAATCCCTAACGTGATAATATACTCTATAATCACGGCCCATGTTAAGCGACTTCATGTCAGTCACGTAACATTTGTTTGAAAGTTTAGGCGGGAAAAATTACACTTATTCTAATAAGTATAACATCGAAAGTACTTATAATTTTTAAAATCCTTTTTTATGGTTAACAAGAGCCTACTTTTAGAATAAAAGCAATTCCTTAAATTTTTCAACATCCATCCCTACTAATATTATAAATGCGAAAGTAACTCTGTCTGTCTGTTACGCTTTCACGCCTAAACCACTGAAGTCTGAACTGATATTAATGAAATTTAGTACAGAGATAGAGTTAACCTTGAGAAAGAACATAGGATAGTTTTTAACCCAGACTTAAAAAGTTCTCTTGGAAACGCGATATAACGGAACACCACGCGGGCGCAGCTGCGGACGGAAAGCTAGTATTGTATAAAATTCAAAATGTTGGATGTATTATAATACAGTATGGTAGAAGTGGTCCATATATGAAGAATGTTATTTACATGAAGAATACTATATACTTACTTTGAAATGGTATATAGGCGCAACCGGCGGTTGTTCCGTTATGTCAATATCATTATTAGTCATATTATTGAATTCAACAATTTGCTGAAATACAAATTAAAATTTAGATTCACACAAAAAGTGTATGAAAATAATGATATTTATATAGATATTTATAAACTCACATTAGCATACTCAACAGTTGCTGGCAGGTCGCTGAAACTTTTTATTGAACTACCTACAAAAAAAAAACACAAGATATGAAATAATTGTATTTAATAAAGAACAAAGATAAAATTTACTATCAATAGTATTATGCTTATTATGATCATGTATGGAATGGAAAAATATATAAGGAGAAAAAAGTATTTTTAGTATAGTCATTAATAATAATATTATAATAATTCACCTGAACTTCCTATAGAGGAGAATGATGAGTTAGCTTTCCTTTTTTTATTCTGTCTGAATATGGTTTCAGCTTTGTATGTAAACTCCTTCGGTTCACTGGTCCTGCCATCGCTCGGTCTAACTAATTCTATGAAAACCTTGGCATCCGATGTTATTTGTAAGTTACGGTATTCTGGTGTCCTATAACACATGAGACAAGTATCAAAATAATAGTATAATAAATAAAAAACGAGGAGGCAAAATTGATGTAGACATTCTATGATTATTAGATTAGGAAAGTGAATTAATATACAGTGTAAACTCTATATACGACACTGAAGGGACTGTGCATTTTATAGCGTTATAGAGAGTTGTTGTTAAATAAAGAAACGAAAAAACACAATTAGAAAAATAGGAAGTTTATTTCATACTAGTATGTTATGTGTAAACATAAAAAACAATGTTGTTTGAATATTATTGCGTATAATCTGTTATTTTTGTTTGACGTCTTTTGCTGTACCAGTCATTTTATTGTTTTTTTTTTTTACTTATTTTATTAATATCTTGCTATATTGAGGCACTTTGCTGATAAAGGAAATATTATTCCAATAATTTTGAAGCTTCCAGAGCTTCTTTAATGCTCTCTCATCTTCTTCATTTGTTTCTTTCAAAATTTCTTTGCCGCATTTTTTCCCCTCACCCTCAGCTTATAGAATTTTATCTTTGTTTTTCCATATTGTGTACACAGTAGAGCATTTAAATGCAAAGAGTTTACCAACATCACTTATTTTCTCTCCCGTTTATATTGAGCGGAGCAGTAAACTTTTTCGTCTAAACAGTGATTTTCTTTAACTGACCGTGTATAAAATTTGAAAGTTACTAAGAATATGATCATGTATAGATGACCCTTACTTATCAATCACGGTCAAAAACAATTTACACGTACAAACAAATCCCAATATGAAAACAAAAGAACGAATTTCTTAGAATGTTCCGTCTGCATGATGCCGAAAGTCGAGTTTATTGCGGGCTAGGATAACAAAGCGACAAAAATCGGACACATCTGCGAAGTTTTAACTAATTTTAGCAACTTAAAAAGTACTTTATATTACTTTATCATTGTATTTATTAAGAATGGGTGTGATGCTGTATAGAGTGTGTAGTATGGTAGAAAACTAAAGCAACCAAAGTCAATTGATTTCGACGCTTTTGAGAGTTAGTCGTTAAATCGAGTATCGTTACATGGAGTTTACATTGTATATATAATTAAACGCAACATGTACCTGAATACAATTCCGTATTGGTGATGTACGTCGCTCTGCAAGAAAGTCGCCTTTTTAGACCAAACCCTTTCTCCATATTTGTCCAGTTCGAAGAAGTTTATCAGTATGTTTTCTGCAAAATGTGAAATAATTGGTATAAAAAAACGGAAAATAGTCAATTCATACTAATATCATAAAGACGCAAAGTTTATTGGTTTGAGCGCTCTAGTCTCAGAAACTACGGGTCCGATTAAAAAAATCCTTGGAATTAAATGTTATTTAAAGCAAATATTTAAAATCAGTTCAAAGATTACTGGTGTTGATGTAAAATTATGTACAACTTAATACTTTAAATAAATAACTCCACTAACTCTCGAGGGATCTTTATCTATGTATTTTAGATTACAAGTCCTTCACGCGTTTCTAAGAATTATTACTATTGAGACAAATTCATAATATGTACTTTCAGTTTTTCATCTATATTTATGCAAGAGGTTAATTCATTGCGTTTAAGTGTTTTTAACATATAAATTTTAAACCTTTAAACAAAGCGATAACATCGGCACTTGAAAAGAGCATTCTCATTTTTTTTAAATGTACGTATACAAAAAAAATCTCAAAGGTACTTTTTTTCTTCTCCGTCCAAAAAATTGAATTTAAAGCGTATTTTCATTATCCCTACTAATATTATAAATGCGAAAGAACATAGGATAATTTTTATTCCGGACTTTTGAAAAGTTCTCTTGGAAACGCGATATAACCGAACTCCGCGCGGGCGAAGCTACGGGCGGAAAGCTAGTTTTCTATACATACACCAAGAGTTTTGATGAATATTCGTAATAACCTTAAAATGAATTTGCATTATCAAACTGTATTTGCATCAAATTTTTAGTACGCAAATCTTTTCACATGATGATTATTTTTTTTATATCAAAAGCTGCTAACGAGCAGACGGATTACTAAATGGAAATTAGTCACCGTCGCCCATCGATATCTGCAACGTAAGGGATATTGCGGATGGAAGCCGACCTTGATTGTGAAAGAAAGAGAGGAAAGGGTGGGTATAGGGAAAGAGCACCCGTCTCTCTCACTCATCGGACGAAACGCAGCCATTAAAGGCTACTTCACCGATATTCCGTGAGAGAATAGTACTTCCCTTGTCAAGCCAGCCCATGTTCGAGCTGTATTAACTTGACAACAGCAATGCTCTACCACGATAACGTATAACTACGCTATGATTATAAAACTGGAAAATATTTTGTTTTTAAACTTCGCAAACGTGTGGTAAGGGCACTGATATTCTTATCAACCACTCAAACTAGTACTAAAAGTGAAGTTGTGTATAATTGCTCGCTAAACAATTTTTATTGACGTTTTTATTAACACGTTCAACGGTTTTAGAGTGTAAAAATCTATGGATTTTACACGGAAACAACTTATTTATTGTTAAAGTTACAACATTTGCAACACAGTTATTATTTTTTAAAGAAAATTAACGAATACTCGGGTTAGCTGTGTTAGTGTGAGATTGTGGCAAAGTGATAAGGCAAATCCGCTAAGTGACTCACTAGATAATTTCAATTATAATTTACAATATTTATTAAATGAATTATAGTTGAATTCAAATAAAACTTCCTTTATAATTTACTAGCTTTCCGTCCGCAGCTTCGCCCGCGTGGAGTTCGGTTATATCGCGTTTCCAAGAGAACCTTTCAAAAGTCTGGGATAAAAACTATCCTATGTTCTTTCTCAAGGTCAACTCTATATCTGTACCAAATTTCATTAAAATCAGTTCAGTGGTTTAGGTGTGAAAGCGTAACAGACAGAGTTACTTTCGCATTTATAATATTAGTAGGGATGTTTTTATTATTATAACAAAATGAAGTGATTTTTTCAACTAAAATAGATTTATACGAGTTTTTGACTACAGTCAAAGCACGATAGCTTAGTTGACAAAAAGACTTAAATACTACGAGTCATAGGAAGTCGATTCAAATCCAGAATACAGTGCAACCTCCATATAACAAATCGGAGAGGAACAAAGAAATATTCTTAATACCAAGTAATTCCTTTAACTGACGTTTTTTACGTTGATGTAAGATTGGTCTAAATTTATTTATAAAGAGGTAAAAAGCTTTTTTTTTTAAATTTAATCTTTAACAATAGTGCCGAGCAGAAGTGTTTACATTACGTTCCATCGAACAACAAGTAAATGACTGTTCTAGGAACAAGCGTATCGAAACATGTCGCGACATGAATCATATACTATAAGATTAATAGTTATACAGGGTGACTGGTGAATTACTATCAATATTTAAGGAGAATACTCGGTACATGATTCTCATTCGAATTATGTAAAAAAATTTTTTTAATTAAGCAAAAATTAAGTGCCTATTTAGGCACTTAATTTTTGACCAAATTTCCGTATAAATAAATAAAGTGTTGACACGTTCCAAGTGTTCCAAGTGTGGACGCGTGCGGCGGCGTGGTGTTGTATCAGCACGCCGCCGCACGCGTGTGTGTGTGTGTGTATACCTAATCTGTAGGGTGTTCACACGATGCGTAATTAATTACATAACTTTTGGTTAACTTTACTTAGAAGTTTATTAATATTTATGTTATATTAATTTTTATTTCGTCATATATGATCGTCAAATATCACGTATCCTCAAATATCGATAGTAATTTACCAGTCACCCTGTATATTGGTGGGATCTTTATATAAAGGTTTTGGATTGACAAAATTCGTTAAATAGATGTATGTTACTTTTTCTTGATAGTTGAAAATTCGTTCGCAAAAAAGAATTTGTTATATCGAAGAAGTCGTTATATTAAGGTTGCACTGTATGTACATAATTTATATTAATTACGCATTACATGTATGGAATTTAATATAAATATATTTTCGTTAAAGTATTCCTCAGTAAAGAGTATAACAAAATGTTATATAATTGTAAATGAAAATCGGTTTATAAAATCAAAAAATCTTGATTTAGTTTTGTTTTAAGAATAATAAAGTCATATGTAAGCCATTTCTAAAACATAAGATGACAAAACTTTTAATAAATATTTTTATTTTAAACCAGACAATTATTGAACGCGACTTATCATTCTGTTTTTAACGGTTTTATTACAAACATTTACGTAGTTATACAGGGTGACTGGTGAATTACTATCGATACTTGAGGACGTGATATTTGACGATCATATATGACAAAATAAAAATTAATATAACAAAATATTAATAAACTTCTAAGTAAAGTTAACCAAAAGTTATGTAATTAATTACGCATCGTGTGAACACCCTACAGATTAGGTATACACACACACACACACGCGTGCGGCGGCGTGGTGTTTATCAGCACGCCGCCGCACGCGTCCACACTTGGAACACTTGGAACGTGTCCACACTTTATTTATTTATACGGAAATTTGGTCAAAAATTAAGTAACCTATTTTTTTTACATAATTCGAATGAGAATCATGTACCGAGTACTCTCTTCAAATATTGATAGTAATTCACCAGTCACCCCTGTATACGATTTGAATTCACAGGATGGAGGAATGACTTGAATGAATATAATTATAAATTTAAACTTACTCTTATTAACTTTTTCAACAAATATGAAGACATCCTCTTTGCCTTTCGGTCGGCCGTAACAACGGCTCATACGACAGATCTTAAGATCATTGGTTGCTGCGCTCTCTATTGGAAATTAAAAATCAATATTACTAAACAATATAGTCAATGAAAATCTTATTTAAATTTGTACGAAACTATCGGAACATTAACATCTAGTCTTTAAGACCAACTAAGTGTAATTCAAAATATAAATATTAGAATAACAATAGAAAAGTTTCATTGTATATTTACAATATAAAAAACTCACTCATATTATGTATACACTCTGAGTAAACTGGTGGACAAATCTCAGCATCTGTGCTTGGGTCGTGAGCACTGAACTTCAATCTCACTATATTCAAATTAATATTCTTCGCCTCGTTCTCGCATTTCAATCTCAGCTATAAAATAATAAAAATATAAGACACCGCATTCACTCCACATAAACATTCCAAATTCAAAACGCATAACAGTTTTGCTAGTCGACTGACCTTCACGTGCGCTTGTTAAGAAGTGACGCTTGCAATTGCATTTGCCGCCTAAACTATTTTACACTTGTGTTGTACACTTCAACGTTTTGTTTATAAACAATACTAAAATGAGTTAACTAAAACAACTTCTCAGAATTAATTCGATAATTAGTTGAGAAAGTTGTAATTATATTTTTTTTATTTTATTTTAATTTATTGACAGCTAATTATTTTCTTACATTTTGGTTATTGTATACCTTTATTGTTTGTATAATATGTTCTTTTATAATTTATTATAAATCGACCCAAATGTTGATAAAACTTGATACATATCTGATACTGCATATTTTAGGAAATGGAAAGAATTTTTCAAACTGCATTTAAATACAGCATATTAATACAGATGAAGATAGGTATTTTTTCAAAACCATTCACTGTTTTTTTATATCTCCATTATTAATTAATAATATTAATCTCATTACTTGTATATGCAATTGAATTTAAAAATAATAATTTTTAAACGATACGAAAGCTTTTTATTGTATAAATAATATTTCACATGCCGAAAGGAAGTAATTCATGCGGTTTATATTTTATCGCAAATAGATATAGACAATGTACAGTTGGCTAGTTCTGGCTAACCGCTAACGCATGCAATGAATAAGTATTGCGTCAAGGTCAATTTTTAATTCGCTGAAGAACATTAATTACTCTATTAATTTCCGGATGTTTATACTTTGTATCGGATATTATAAACAATTATGATATTTTTGACATAAGTACCAAGATAACTTTGTTGTAGGGCTTTTGTTTACGAAATATAAACTTATAAATAATCCATATGAGAACGTTTTTTAAATTTGGAACGCTTAAGCTTTATCTATCACGAACGTCAATAAAAAAGTCCTACTAAAAAAAACAGAACGCAAACGATTTTTTTACGTAGAGTATATTTACTTGTAAATTATATTATATTTTTTATTTAAATGATTGAAATATTCTAACTTATTAAATCCAAATCAAATAAAGAATCGTTAACCATGCATAATTAATTACCTTATTTTCATTAAAAGCTGTCTCTGGTTTCTCTGAGGCATATCTTTTGTACAATAGAGCGGGAACATCTTTTTTCGCCGTGTGTATTATACCCATTCCCCTAAATCTGTTTATAAAATGATAAACAAAGAAAATATATACACATTAATCAATAACAACTTTTGATAAGCTAAAATGAATATTGATGCGATATGATATATCAAAAAAGATAATAACGGACTTTACTAAAAGTAAAATACCAGTGGATATTATGCAACAGAATGGAAGATTAAAATAAATTGATATGTGATATCCGGTCGGAAACGTCTACTATTTATTATGTATATGTATATAGGTATTATATTCTGCCAGTGTTTGAGAATGATAAAAATTACTCACGCGACACGATAGCTTCCTTTTTCCGGTAACCAGCTGTGGACGTCTCTATCCTGGTCTTCTTCTAGTAATTTATGAGGGTGTTCATCAGTAGAATCATGCCTTGCTAACCTACATCTTACAAGCGCCCTCCCAGTATAGTTTCTAAGCTGGAATAAAACATTTATTATAAAGGCTAGAACAAATAAGTACTTAGCGACAAATAGTTTTCCTTAACATTTAATATGTGTAATAAAAATTCATCTGTTATATAGAATATATTTATATATGTATATATAATTCATGGTAATGGTATTATTAAATAACTACGACAGCCTACGCATTTTGTTATCATGTAATTAATAAAAAACATGGAAATCGAACAAACCGTTTGGAAGCTATAAAGCCACGAACAAACACACACATACACACGCACACACACAAGTGCAAACTCTCAATATAGGCCATTGATGTCAAACATATAGCACCCTTTTGTGCGTCAGATTTTGACGATCGTCTCATTATTGTAATTATTGTAATCATTATTGTAATCTTTCTACTACTTTTTTGTATTTTTTCACAAATATTCTTTAATTTTAATGAATAAGAAACCTAGATTACTAGCAGTATCCCCACCACAAGCTTGATTCATCATCAAATAAAAAACAAACAATGTCAAGTTTTTAATTTATATTGTACCTTAAATATTATTTATATGCAAAGAAATAAAAATGAAAAATGATGCAAAGTCATGGTCTAAGAGACTGGGTTTTGTTATTTAAAAAAAAAAATTTGTTAGACATTTATGGCTGCTTATTTTTTAAATTAATATACATAGAGTATGCATTCCAAGTGTCAATATTGACTTATAAAAACACATAAGAAGCAATCCGGCAACGTGTTGATTTATGGAAAATTTAGTCAATTATAACTAATTACAAAAGAGCCATAATAATAATATATATTATATATATAAATGTATTAGTTTAAATAACTAGTGCCATGATAAAATATGGCAATGTTAATTAATAAATAATTAATATTTCCAGTACTATTAAATTTTCAGTTCTAAATTTACTTATCAGTACTTTGAAACACATAATATCATTAAACCTTCCCTTATTTCCTGGGAAAGGTATTATAAACAAGATTACATGATTTTGAAAACACTATTACATCTTGAAGAAAAGATCAATGCCATAAAATTTTGTGAATTTGTCTTATAAATGTCAAGTTAACACAATTTTTAAAGCTCTGTAAACAAATTAAGTAAATTTTTTTCCAAACAAAATCATTTCATGTAGAAAAAACAATTCCGGGAAGCAAATAGTGTTAATTGTACTAAAATTGATAATTTATAGTTATCTAAATATAGCCTTTGAGTACAAGAGACATATCAATCTACTTTTATCGTCTTCAAAGTGATTTTATTCCATCATAAAATGCTAACACTTAATCTAACTAGATCTTAGTCTATTTTACAATATTAAAATCTCTGTTTAGGACATGTATTCAAGAATTATTTTTTAATGTATATGTAGTTCCATGTTTCATATTATAATTTAAAAAGACAGGTATAGATTAATTAAAGCATTTATATTATTTTAATAAATAAAGTTTATGAAATAATGGAGGGTGATGCTTACTAAATACACATAATAATTTAATAATTGTATGATTCATGAAGAAGTAATTGCTTAAACAGGTTTAAAAACGGGTAAGGTTATGTATGTACTTTCTCTCTTCCTTAAATACCTTACTGTGAATTATTCAATGTGTCATGGTAAATAAAAAAAAATTGTATTTATATGAAATATCAAACTAAAAGATGTAAACATTGGACAGAAGGTTTAAAGGGAAAAACAAATAATTAATTATTATCATATTCTATATCACTGATAATCACCAAACAGCTTAATGGCTGAAGAATATTTGAATGAAAATTATACATATACGTAAGCACAATTAATATTTCATTGAATTTTATAAATAGCACTTACCTCAACAGTAGGATGTGATTTGGATTTACTTGGGGCACATGACTTTCCCAAGAGACAACCATGCGTTCCAATCATTTCACTTTTGTATCTGAATCTAAAGTGGTTCTGTGGCTGTTCCACAATATAGAGATATGGCATGTTGCCTACAACAAGAAAATTCATAAAGATTCTTAATGCCTGTAGCTAATCATATATGTATGTATATAGGTTGATTACTCATTTTTTATTGCAAATAAACTATACTTAAGTCCATTCAAATCAATAACAAGAGTTTACTAATATTCCAATATCAAATAAGAAAGACAAAGAGTTTGTAAAAAGTTTTTTTTTGGTTACCTTTCGGCATATTTGCATTCTCGGCACATGATAACTCCGAAATGATATTGGCTAGCTGTGGAACTTGATGAGACGGCGAACTGTACGGTGAATCAGATTGAGAAAAGGGAGATTCCAAATTGGAATCGCTTCCATCTTGCTCACTTGTAGACATTATTTTATCATAATTTGCAAAAATTGCAACAAGCTTTAAAGACACTTTTTCACACTTATTTTATAAATTCCTATTATTTATTTAATAAAATGTTTGTTTATAACTACACTGAGTGACTTTGATATTTAATTTAAAAATAAAGTGAATTATAAACGCAACTCTTCACTACTTTGGTGTAAATGAACAATTATTAAGTTCGTCTTTCAAGTACTGTAACGTAAAAACTAATGTTGACAACTTCAAAAGTGTTGCTACTACAAAACAACATTTCGCACAAAATAGCAGAAAAGTTTAGAAAAAGGAATTAATTTTTTTATTAAAATATAAATAGTGCGAAAGAAAAAAGATGTTTATTTGAGAACACTATTAAATACGGAATATATGTAGTTATTTCAAGAATCCTAAACATTAAGTTTCCAAAAGAACAGTTGCAATAGCAAATTACCCCTAATTATAGTAAAAACCGATATGGTAACACTGATATTTCATTGTCATTCGAATGGTTGCAATGTGCATATCTGTATATATGTAATAATATATATGTATGTGTAGTACAGAGATAAAATGACGACAGCACGCTCGGGGAAGAACCAATCCTGCGTGGCAAATAAAGTATGAGTCACAAAAATCCCCTAACATTGCTTTATATTATGTATATCAGTATATATATACTGATATACATAATATAAAGCAATGATATACATGATATACATAATATAAAATTATTCTTCTTTTGTAATTAATATGATAATTTTTGGTTCTAAATTGACTGATTGCTATATAATATGTAATTATTGCTGTTTTCAAATACATAAGTAATATTACTAGTTCCGTTTTGTACTACTTATCCGTTTTGGTTAGTTTAAAGTTTGTTTATTATTGAAAATCTGAAACATTTAGTTTGTAAGATGTACTAATATGATGAATATTATTTATTCTAAGCCTTATAGTTACTTGAATAAACTGAACTTTTTAGTAATTAATCATACGTAAACATCAGTTTGTATTAGCAGAGTAACTGACCTTGATAAATTGGCTTAAATCTTTGCGGAAATCGTTAATATTACTATATACATTAGTCATAGTATTTTAAATAAAAAGATTTATTTCTATCTATCCTTTAATATTTTCTATCTCAGAAAAAAAATTAATTACCTAAGTACTTTAATCTTTATAGGTAGTTAAGTATTTAACCTTTGGGTTCGATCACATTGTAGTGATGACGGTCACGGGAAGATAAGATGAAAGTCTTACGTTTATATTTGTAATAGGTATAAATAATAAAAATTTACATATAAGTATATTACATAATTTACATAAGTATTTGTTATTAAAAAACAAACAAACAATAAAAACTAGTGATAGTTCCTAATGTACACTAATTATGTTATTATTTATTAATATTATCTAAGTATTTCATCATAAAATAAAAAACATTTACAAAATAATTAAAAAACGATCATAATTAAACAAAAAAAAACAAGCAGATCATTAGCATTAGCTTTTACCAACTATGACGTACTTATTAAAGTACGTCAAAGTTGGTAAAAGAAGATAAAGTTTAAAAGCTTATTAAAAATACTTAATGCTTTCTTAAAAAACTAATACGTCTTAAAGAATTTTTTTTCAACATCTATTTTTTTGCAGAGCATATTGCAAATAGATAGTGACACACATATTCAATAATCTATTGTAGCAAATTGCAATATGTACATAGTAAAAACAACTATAGTAGTAAAACATGATAATCTTATTTTATTTTTTATTTTTAAGTAAAACAACATCATCATCAGAAACAAATCAGAAAAATAATTGCAACTGTTTTCATTACTGTACTAAAATAAGTAAAGATTGTTTCTTAATGAAATCTTTTCCAGATAAAATGTAATAGTTATAACTGTATATTAAATATTTTTAAACGTATCTAACAGTGTCATGAGGTTTTAAACAATTTATGCTTTCTCTTTCGAATCCTGCAGTCTGTTCGTAGAAAAAAACAGTACCAGTCGACAAAGAAGTTACAACCGTAAAAAAATATAGAACTTTAAAACTTATTAATCATGTTCAAAAATTGTTGAGGTTTTTGAAGCAGTAGGTACATACATGTGATTGAGATGTTTTTTAAGACTTATTACAATAACATGTTAAATCTATATACGTAAGAAACGATTTTACAAGCCCATTCACCACACATGAAACAATATAGTAGTTTAACCCAGAATTATTTCAAAGTCAACGACCACCGAAAGTCATATAAAAAAGAAATTTCAGATGTAAGCAATTTTTGATGACTGAACTCATCGAATTCCAAACGGTGTGTAAAAATGTAATATCCGATATTTTGTTATATTGTTATACATAAATAGAAACAATTTATTTATAAGAGTACTCGCGATTCTATAAAATAGTAATGCAATATCACCCCAAAACTATTTGCTGATATTATTTCATACAGATGTATTCAAATTTGATTCGTAGAAATATTTAACACTATAGGTAGTTTTCCTACCTACAATTAATTTATAAATATGGTAACATTATATTATTTTAGTGTCCTAAATTCTATTGGCATTCATTACTTCCTTAAACAAAGATACTTTAATTAACCAGAAATATTAATATCTTTAGATGCGTAGGTAACAAAGGATTAATACTATACAGGGTGACTGGTGAATTACTATCGATACTTGAGGACGTGATATTTGACGATAAAATATGACAAAATAAAAATTAATATAACAAAAATATTAATAAACTTCTAAGTAAAGTTAACCAAAAGTTGTGTAATTAATTACGCATCGTGTGAACACCCTAAAGATTAGGTATACGCACACACACACACACGCGCGGCGGGGGCGTGGTTTTGTATCAGCACGCCGCCGCACGCGTCCACACTTGGAACACTTGGAACGTGTCCACACTTTATTTATTTATACGGAAATTTGGTCAAAAATTAAGTACCTATTTTTTTTACATAATTCAAATGAGAATCATGTACCGAGTATGCTCCTTAAATATTGATAGTAATTCACCAGTCACCCTGTATACCAAATCTAGCATTTGCTACGAGAGCGTTAAAATTTTACATTAAAATCCATTTATATTTGGTTATTCTAATTCACTGCTTAAAAGAGCTAACTTATTAAAAATAGATTTCCTTAATATACCTATATGCATTTGATCTTACAGAAAGTAAAATTAAAACATAGCTTACAAATAAAGTCACTTGGATAATTACATAAATCATAAATGGGCAAGCTTGGTCCAAGTTTTCATCGTCACACTACATACGAACTGTTGCTCGTTTATCATTCAATAACTTTAGATAAAAGGCACTAAATGTGCGAAAATTAGCACACGCTGACTTTATCTGGAACTGTTTTCAGTTACAAATAAAATACTTTTGGAATGGCATGCCAAGGCAAGATAAAGTTTTTCTATATTATTTTGTCATTAAGTAAACTAATAAAGAAGTGTTTTGTTTGTTACATATTTACGCATTTAATAATTAATTCACATTAAAAATTACATGCACATTTAAAAAGTATATCGACAAGGACCATGTCAAAATAATAATTTTATTTTCTTATTTCAAAAAAATCCAAGCAACTCTCTAGACGAAACAACGCTTCAGTTCGATATCCAAAAATATTTGTTTGTAAAGCACGTCGACTTATACTAATGGACATGCCTTAGAGACGAGATTTGTGGCACTCCGTAAGAAAGAGAGGAAACGAAGTTTCGGTCTATCTTTATCTCTCTCAAATTTATATGCCGTTTTGTAATGAAAACTAAGCGCCAATCATCTATGAGGAAAGAGATAGTGCTAGACCGAAAGCATAGGCCATCTCTCTCACTCTTTTAAGCCAAATACGCGTACGGCGTGTCAATTAGTAGGTATAAGTCGATGGTAAAGCGTATGAATACTTGAAGTCCTTGGGGGTGTCGTTTTGAATGCAGAAGAGTACAAAAGAAATAGCAATATAGCCTTTTAATATTTTAGTTTATGAGATTACCTTTCCCTTCTCAATTGGCGATTTAATAAAATTGATGGTAATATATAATTTTTGTTTCCCTTTTTAGTAGTGCGTCTTTAATATTAAGGTCACCGTACCAATAAAATAAACATCGTGAGAAATAAAATTGGTTGCAAAATGAAAATTAAGTTTAAGGTTTTTTCCTTTTAAAATTCATGGTAATAAAAATTTATACATTAAAGTGTAAAATTTTTCATCCTTTTGAATTATTTGTGTATAATAATTTTTATATAAAATACATACCTGGTAAAAACATATATTAAATTAAAAAGCGGTTGTGTTGAAATTTTAATCGAACTGAAAATAAGATAATTTTATAAAATTAATTAATTAATTTCGGTAACACAGATAAGACTATTTTATAAAATTAATTTCGTTTTTTGTAATGTTACCATGTGGTTATTTCCGATTGTTGTCTTACTTATTACTCTAAAATTAATTTGTTTGTGAATCAGAATTTTAAGACGTTTACCTAACTAATATTCTAAATTGTAGGCAATTTTGAAGTGAGTTTAGTAATGTGGATTTTGGTAGAACTTTAAATTATAAAGAGTTTTACAATTAGTAATAAATAAATATTTAAAAATGCCCGACATCCTCAGTTTCTTAAAACTATTTTAAAATTTTTCAACATCAGCTGTAATAATTTCACGCAATGGCAGCGTACTGTTTGAAAGAATATTATATTAATATAATTATATTATATTATATACATTTTAGTAAGTATAATGGATTAAATAAAACCAGTGGAATGTTTTACATTATTGTATTATACTTAGAATATAAAGGAATGTCTAAAAATTAGTACAAAAGCTGAGATTGCGCTGGATGGCACAAATATATTAAATCGTGAAGTTTTAGCGAGTCACGACAAAAATAAATCGCATAAACGAACTTCACCATAAACCATAATAATTGATTACAATTTACGTGATTCATAAAACATTTTCGATTTTTTAACATTAAATATAATGATATATTTTTTTGGAAGACACTCGGAAACAGGATGATTTATAAATCTCACAAAAATGTAAGAATTATGTGAAGTATTGAAATATCATTATAATTCTTTATTTCTTATGGCATAAGCTTCAGAATAAAAAATATTCTTAACATGAATTATTATTAGTGATGGAAAAGTCTCAAATTTGTGTGAGCTAGAATTATTTTATGTTCGTTGCAGGCATCTATAACTTCCTTATCGTTGTTTGAGCCGGACGGACTGCCGATGTATTCAACACCGCACTGGAATCAAGACAATTGATCACACATAAGCATACATAATTAATTATAAAATCCTTTATAAAATATATTGTTAACTTTTCCAATTTTTCTTTTCTATTTCATTATATTGAAAATAGCTATGATGTTTCTCAATAGGAATTTTCAGAAAAACGGAAAATTATATAAAAATCTACATAAACAGTGAAAAAATAAATAAAATGTCCCATAAACATAAAAAAATTTCTTTGTTTATAGATATGTTATATACATACAGGGAAACATTTTAAAGTATAATGAATGTATAATATTAATAATACCTGGACCGCTCTATCAATATTATCTCTGAACGGGAAGAACGCGTCAGATGCGAGAGCTACTTTGTCCATTTTTTTGATCCAAGCGTCTCTTTCCTCAGGAGTTAGTAACGCTGGAGGTTCACCTTCGAAGAGACTGTTCCATTGGTCCAGAGGCAAGTCGGAACCTGGGAATGAACGAATTGTATGTAGAAGAATATTCATTCACAATAAACAATTTAGTGAATATAAAAAGACTTTCGTATCAAATTATTTAAGACTAGCTTTTGCGCGCGACTTCATCCGCGTGGAATATTGACTTCCGGCAGATTTTTGGTTTTTCCCACATAGTTCCCGTTCTTGCGGGATTTTCGGAATGGTCGAGTTCCCGCAGAATTTTCAGGATAAAACCTATTTTTTTTCGAGTTCCAAACTATATATGTACAATTTTTAAAGTAAATTTAATTATTTTAAAGAACTTCTGCATATACTACATTTATTATCTTGTGGCAGAAGAACATATTGTTTTTCGCTACAACCCGATCTTGAGAACGATCAGCACTCGATTCCCGTTGCCGGTTCGCCAAAGTTCTGAAATATTGTGAGGCTAAACGCTGCGAACGTTCAACGCTTGATTCCCTTACACGGTTTTGATCAGTCATTGCTCCAACATGTGCATATTTTCAACCTCAGTTTCATTGCTGTGCAAAACTCGCACCCGCTTAGCAGTAGCAGTCTGCCGATACTTATAAATTAATAATCTATATGAAAACAAAAAAGTGTTATTATTGTGTAACTAAATACTATCCTAAAACAAATAAAGTACCTACTATATAGAAAACAACTACAAAATGAAACTGTGTTTAAAAAGTAATATTACTCTCTCCCGACGCGCCGGCCAGCGCAGAGAGCGAGTTGGTTTTGTTTCGGAGTTATTTATGATTGTAATCTTTAATTTTTTTTGTTGAAATTAAGTTATGTCAAAGACAATTTTATTCACAATAAAGTACTCTTAACCAACAACATATTTATTTGTTTATTTGAATAAAGATTAATATTATTATGTTGATACAACTTAAACAAATTATTTCGACCAAATAAGTTACCATAAAAACGGTTTTTGTGAGTTAATCTTATAAGATAGACATATACTGTCGCGGACTTTTTTTTATATCAATAAAAGAGCTATTATTCTTTCATACATATTTTTTGTGTATCTTGAACCGTTTTTACGGCGCACGTAACAGAAGGCTTCAAAGATGAAATAATTTCTCCCGTTTTTTACACATTTACCACTATATCTTTGCTCCTATTGGTCGTAGCGTAATGTTATATAGCCCACAGCCTTCCTCGATAAATGGACTATCCAACACTAAAAGAATTATTCAATTCGAACCAGTAGTTTCGGAGATTAGCGCTTTCAAACAAACAAACAAACAAACAAACTCTTCAGCTTTATAATATTAGTATAGATAAACACATTTTTATATTTTAATATAATAAAAAATCCTATACAGACTTGTACATAAATATTTGAATTCATTATTTTGGAGCACAATGACATTGTATTGTTTTTGAGATATTAATTAATACATCAACAAACTGGCAACCTTTTCGTCAAAAACGAAAACCTTTCTTCCTTAATAAGAACTGTATAAAGGACTATATAAACAAAAACTAAAATAACACTGAATTTTAGATACAAAAACGATATCTTATCCAATAACATCATCACTGCCATTCACTCACCTATGGTGCCATTGACATAGTTATCAATGGCGTTAGATATGACGGCTCTGGTGACGTTCTTCTTGAACCTCATGTCAGTGACCTTGGGATGTCTTCTTGTCCACCACAAGCCAGCCTTGCCTCCTGCGAGACGAGTGCAGTGGATCCTCGACTGTTGACCCGCACCGATACCTATAACCTATGTAGGATTGACAGGTTTTATTAGATATATTGTGTAAGGCGAATGAATCAGTGGTGGCCTAGTGGTTAAAAGGCCCGCTTCTCATGCATGAGGGCGCGGGTTCGATCCTGGGCCGGGCAAGTACCAATGTGATTTTTCCGAGTCATATGTACTTTCTAAGAGTATGTAGACATCACTGATTAATGCATTCCCAAAGAGGGTTGATTTCAGGCAGGCGGCCGGTCGTAAAAACAATTAGTCAAAACTATTCACAACATGTAAGGCAGACCCTGGGAAATTGCCAGGTAGAAGAAGAAGATTGTGTAAGGCGAATAATATCTGTCTAAACATTTTTTATATTATCTGTGAATTGTTATCCAGTTAATATGCGATGATGGAACCGTTAGTGTGAAAGAGAGACAGATGCAAGTTTAGTCATCGTGTGAAAGGGATCGAAAATAGAATATGTTAGCTAAGAAAAGGATGCAAAAAATATAGACAGTATTAAAATGTCATTCGTAGTTTTAATACGTTTATATGCCGTAAAAACTTCTTACTAATTTTTGTTGCTCATTCTTGTTGTATATTTCTTTGGCAATTACTATTAGTAGAGTAGAATTTACTTTAATATAAAAAATAACAACATTTCGCTATATATATTCCTTGTTAGTCCTTATAAAAGTACCAAAATTTAAATTAAATACCTAATTAAAAAAACGGTATTCTTTTGTTTTATCTATATACAAGTAGATATAATTTCAACTTACTTGTCCATCTCTAGCGAAGCACACAGAGTTGCTTTGTGTGTATTTGAGAGCGATGGTTGCCACTATGAGATCCCTAACCGCGTTAGGCGGTAGGGACTTTTCGTTGGTGACAACATTCTTGAACAGATCAGGAGTTATCTTCGCGTCATTACGTCTCTGTTCGAGAGTCAAACCGAATATTGTCTTTTGTTCCATTAAAGCTGGAGTGTATTTGGGATCCATCTGAAATAAAGTTGTTAATTTATAAGGTTATTACATTCTTACCTATAATAATTTTATTTCTTTTCATGTACAGTTTTTAATTTTTACTTTATACATAATCGTCTTTAATGAGAGGATAACTTTGTTACAGATAATTAAAAACATATTTATCGCCCCATTCGGGATACATAAATTTAGACAATTTAGCCATCACTATAGTTCCAATTTTTAGCTTCTAATGAATTTGCACTCTATTCTGTTATAGATTAGATTCAAATTACCTGAAGGACGCAGTAATTGCCACCTTTCTTTTTCTTAAGGATGTCCAAGGCGGCTGGTGAGTATCCGGGAGCGATGATACCATCAGATACTTCTCGAGATATAATCCTGGCTGTGATCTCGTCACATTCATCTGATATAGCTATGAAGTCTCCAAAAGAACTCATTCTGTCAGCCCCACGAGCTCTGGCGTACGCACACGCGAGGGGAGACAATTTTGGAAGTAGATCTGACACCATACATACTGATGCCTGTAAAAAAATATCAATTTTATTAACAGCGCTTTAATATAAGGCTAAACGTGACGTATTTAAAGAATTTACACAAAAAACTTTTTATTTTTCAAATCATAAGCTTTGATGAAAACGAATGTTTCCTAAATATGCTTTCTCCACCTAGGGCAATTGAACAACATAATGAGATCTATTAAACGACAACAAAATTTCCTAATTAAAGCTCAAGCAATATTTCACATATAGATACAGTATTCTAAAATACGTAATAAGAGTTACTTATATAATATTCTTTGTTAAATTTTGTTCACTTACCTCCTCTTCGTTTAAGGGCAGCCCAATCGCAGCTCCAGCCGGTGAGACGTGTTTGAAACTTGTAGCTGCTGGCAAACCTAGCGCCTCCTTGAGTTCAATGACCAGCTGCCAGGCGTTCAGTGCGTCACAGAGGTTGATGAAACCGGGTGAACCGTTCAAGGTTGTCAACGGTAGACGGTCATCGGTAACAAATACTTGAGCTGGCTTTTGATGAGGGTTCATACCTGTACGAAGAGGAGAAATTTTTATTGCAGATAAAACACATCATTTTAAGTCTCTTACTGTCTTTCTCTTATGAGCTGTAATTATTTCACTAGTCCCACAAGATGTACTAAATTAGGGAATAACAAAATTTATCCATGACAGAAACCATATTGAGGAATGATAAACATGTTCTTTCTTAAGCGTCTTTTTCTCAATGATGTTAAATAAGTTAAACGATCTAGTGGATACCTTATAAGTTATAACATAATTATGTAAATTAAAGGGATAATTCATAATCTTTGATTTTATGATATAATTCATAGCCTTACCATATCTCAAGGTCATCTGTGATTGTCCCGCGGAATATTGCTTACGGAAATAGTCCGAAATGTGAGTGTCGTATTGTGAAGTGTGGGTGAAAGCTTTCAAGGCCAGCTTTTGTCTGAAATAAATAAGAATTACCTCTACCAACTCTCGTATACTTTGCTTCCAATATAAAATTCTCGAGATCTAACTCTAAACAATTTAGCTACAGCCGAGATATGTGAAATGTTATATTAGTCCAAAATTATACAGGGTGACTGGTGAATTACTATCGATATTTGAGGACGTGATATTTGACGATCATATATGACGAAATAAAAATTAATATAACATAAATATCAATAAACTTCTAAGTAAAGTTAACCAAAAGTTATGTAATTAATTACGCATCGTATGAACACCCTACAGATTAGGTATACACACACACTCACACATACGCGCGCGGCGGCGTGTTGTTGTATCAGCACGCCGCCGCACGCGTCCACACTAGGAACACTTGGAACGTGTACACACTTTATTTATTTATACGGAAATTTTGTCAAAAATTAAGTACCTATTTTTTTTACATAATTCGAATGAGAATCATGTACCGAGTATGCTCCTTAAATATTGATAGTAATTCACCAGTCACCCTGTATAATAATACAAACCTGGTCTCTAAGGAGGTTTGGTGGTCGTTACTCTCCTTCAATTCTTTCATAACTACGTCATAGTCCGATGGATCGCATACTACCGTCACTCTATCGTGATTTTTAGCGGCTGCTCTCAAGAGCGTCACACCACCAATATCAATATTTTCTACCGCATCAGGTATTGTGACGTTAGGTTTAGATATTGTCTCCACAAATGGGTACAGATTGCACACAACCACGCTTATCATTTCAAACTTCTGGCGTTTCATGTCTGCTTGATCGGAATCTGTGAGCCTGAACGAATAAAACAGACATTTATTCTGACAAGAGAAAGAGATAATATTCTACAAATCGACATCGTTTCGAATATGGAGACACTCTTATTTGGAGTGAAAATTTAATATTTTCATAGTTTATATCAGCTTGGATGGCTTTTATTAGTTCTATTGACTATAAAAATTCTCATGAGGGTATTGAATAGGAGTTTGGTCACCGATAATAAGCTAAGTGCCACGGTCGTGACCTTACATCAAGCGAACACAGAGTTCAATGTATTGTATCAATAATATGATAAGAACAAAATTTCATAAAGTAAAAAAATATAACTTATATAAATCAACAAGGTAATTGGAGTTGCTTCTGTAGTTATGGTATTTAAATACCTTTAAGATCTTAATACATATCTATAGGATAGAGGAAAATATTCAGTTATAACATAATATTAATTTTATAAGATGTAAAGGAAAAAAACTAAATAAATACTTCTCAGAAGCTATTAACTGTAAACATACAGTAACACAAAAATTTATAGTTTATTGTACATTAAGAAACAATATTTTCTACATTAATAGTTTTTTTTTACCTTGATAGAATACCAGCATGTACTGCTGGGTGGAGTGACTTCACTCTTCCTCCGAGCATCTCTGGAGCTCCAGTTATATCAGACACATCCAATACTTTAAGCCCAGCATTACGGAGAGCTGTAGCGGTACCACCACTTCCTACCAATCCTAGACCTATATCTGATAGGCATTTGGCCAGTGGTATCAAACCGGTCTTGTCTGATACACTAAGCAGAGCTGCAAATATTATATTTATAATAAGTATTTATATATGAATTAATGCTATATTTTCTTAAACATTTGTAAATCCAATTACTTTATTAAAAAATTGTCCCTAAATAAAGTAACAGTGGTCCATAATTAAACATTTTGAGAATAAGTGGCAAGTAACTAAGTAGTTTTTTTTTTTAATGAAAATTATGAAGAACTCTTTTAAATAGGTACCAAGAGAGACAAAATTAGAAATTAATAAAGACAAAAATAAAATAACACAAAAATTTTAGTTAGTTAATATTTATTAGTAAAATTCTTACCCAATTTTCCATTAGCAGCCATGTCTTATTGTTGTAAGTAGTAGTTTAAAACTGTCTATATTTGGCTCTTGAGCAGTTTATTGAAGTGACCTCTCACAGGGGTCCTGATAACAAAATAACTTATTTACTATACAACATTAGGGTTGTACATTTTGTTAAACATCAGTGTTATTAAGTTTAACATGAATTTCATCAATCGTGGTTTATTTACTTATGATACATATATTATTTTATATATTTAATTGATATGTATACTATGATATGGTTATAAATTATTTTTTTCTAAAGAGGAGAGTTTTTAATGTAAATATTGATGGGTGAACATAAAAAAGTTGTTTAAAAATTTTGTCACATCCATAAAAATAAAAATTAGCAAGATATATATCTTTCATGTTCTAACTTGAAAATTAAATTATTTTGACAGCCCTACTTTATATGATGAAAGATTATGATGTAATAATTTATTTGTGCAAACAATAACAGATTTAATTATATTTTCCAAAGTAAAATATGTATATTAGGTACATTAAAGTTGACCTTTCATATATGATCAATGATAAGTATGTAATGAATAACAGACTGAGTTGTTTTTTTGCCTAAACAAATAATCTTACTTAAAAAAATGTTGATTATTATATGTATGTAAAATAAGAAAACAAGTTGAAATACGTATGTTTTGTTATTTTATTCAAGTTATGCTGGTTAGTTACTGTTTCTGTTTTCACATACTGAATAAACGTTGAAAACTAAAAAAAAATAGTTTTTTTAAAGTCTAATTTTAATTTGTCTTTAAAAGAAAAACCTTTCTATCAAAAAGTATGTTTACTTTCTTGTCCCTCAAATGTTTGAGGTTTAATATTAATATACATATCACTTCTTTATTAAATAATCAATATACCTAAGTATTTAAAACTATTTGTGTAGTCATTTTTTTTTAAATAATAAACATCAATTCTTACCGTAGTTCCAATATGAAAAAAAAATTGTTAATCTTTATAGTACCGGCAACGAGCACATACACAAAATCACATGCGCAAGAGTAGAAAATACATGCCTTCCTGTAAAAACAATTTCATAGCGTAGGTCTAATACAGGTTACATATAACAGGTTATGTAAAATTAAAATTATTTTATTATATTAACATTAAATGAAAATAAACCAATAAATGTTAAACTAAGCCAGAAAGGTTATTTACTCATGAAAATATTAGTCTTGTTTTTATTATTAATTGGCATATTACTACACATTGATAATTAAATTGAAAAAATAAAATAATACATAGACGCAGATAATATCTGATTCTACGATATTGCATACAAGACTCCATAAGAGTAGTATGTATTTTAAATAATCAATTTTTATTTTAGTACATTTTTAAAATACAAGCAATAGTATCCAATTATTGTGACAGTTGACAGAAAACTGTCAAAATTGTTAGTGTTCTTGTGATATCGTCATTTTCACGTGTTGGATCTTCGATATTTCAACTAATATCTTATTAAATAATGTAATGTGAGCACTAATTGAGTAAATGGCTTAACCTAAATAATTTCTTTACTTTACAGTTCGTTGAAAAAAAATCTGATCAACTTTTAACAGATAAAATTAATATATAATAAAAGGTCACAATGTCTTTACCAAGTGCCAAAAATAAGCCGCCTCCTGGAAAGAGTTGGCGAGAAATTAATCAAGAACGTAAAGCTTTGAAACGCCAGCGTAATGAAGAAAAGATTTTAAAAGGAGAAAAGCGTATGTTGTTAGAAAAAGAGATTGAGTTAAAGAATAAGGAGGAAATAGAGAAAGAAAAGAAGTATTCCGAGATTTCTACAGTAAGCATAGCTGTCCCTGGGTCGATATTGGAGAATGCACAATCAGCTGAATTACGTACGTATTTGGCTGGACAAATTGCGAGGGCAGCGTGTGTGTTTTGTGTTGATGAAATAATAGTGTTTGATGATATTGGTGTTAAAGTAGACACCAAAAAATCGAAGCTGGAAGACAATAGTGGCACCAAAATCGCACGCAAGAGTTGTGTGCAGTTGGCAAGAATTTTACAGTACTTAGAATGTCCTCAATATTTGAGAAAACATTTTTTTCCACTGCATAAGGATTTAGAGTTTGCTGGTCTTCTCAATCCTTTAGATGCTCCTCATCATTTACGGATGTCAAACGATTTTCAATTTAGGTATATAATTTGTTAATTATGTCTAAAATATATTTTTGTATATTATTGTCCCATATACTATTATACAATCTTCTCACAAATCTATAATAACAGTTGTAAGGTGTATGTTTCAGGGAAGGAATAACAATGAATAAGAATGTTAAACCTGGTAAAGGCTCACAAGTTAATGTTGGTTTGTTACAAGATGTATCAACTGATAAGTTGCTTAATCCCGGCATAAGAGTTACTGTGAAAATGCTTCCACTGACAGAGGGCAAGAAAAAATTGAAAGGAAAAATTGTCAGCCTGTCTACACCAAGAGCAGAAACTGGAGTGTATTGGGGTTACACTGTTAGAATCGCAAATAATCTTAGTCAAGTGTTTACCCAGTGTCCGTACAAAGATGGGTCAGTATTATGTATTAATCCATCAGACTATGATGAGAATATTACTAGTAACTAAATTTCTTAACAAATAAATTCTGTTAACTATAACCTTGCTTATATTATGTTATATTATTTTAGATATGACCTGACTATAGGAACATCAGATAAAGGAACACCAATTGACGATTTGCCCAACAAAGAAGTGACATACAACCATGCTCTAATTGTTTTTGGTGGTTTACACGGCATAGAAGCAGCATTGGAAAGTGACGAACAATTACAGGTTGACGAAGCAAGTTTACTGTTTAACCATTATGTAAATGTGCTTCCCAATCAGGGGTCAAGAACAATTCGCACAGAGGAAGCCATCCTCATTGCAATGTCATGTTTGCAATCAAAATTAAAACCTAACAATGAACCAATGGTTTTTGAGAAAACTGGAATAGCTGTCAGTTCTTCATTCCCAAAAAATAAATCAAATGACTCGACCAATGACAATAATATAGACTTAAGTAAATTTGATTAAAACAAATATTTTACAGAATACAAAGTTTTTTATTATTTATATAAATTTATATAAATCTGGAAGACCTCTTAGGAATGATATAAAAATTATTTTAAGTTTCCCTTATAACTAGCACAACCTTCATATATGTACTTTCTTATTTTTTATTAATGGCCTGTTGTACAGTATCTCTCATTAGTTGAATGGTTGAAGCTTGGTCGTTGGATCCTATTATAGCCGTTCCAGAGACTATCATGTTTGCACCCGCCTGCAAAATATTTGAAATTATAACATGTTTAGGTAGTGTTATATTACAAAATTGCAATAACAAGGCCTTTATCAGTTTGCCCAGTAAAGGATCAAAACATTTGCAAAGATATTATTAATCCATAAACTGTTAATACAATATCTTAGAATATAATGTTTAATTAAACACCACAATAAAAGTAAATTACATAGAAAATGTCACCTAACACATTTATTGTCTTCTATCTTAGAAGTGATTTTAAATTATGGTTAAAGAAGATTTTGAGGATAAAAGTAGGTTGAGGTCTATTGAAAATATATACACACAGGTGCACATGAATAATATTGCAGTAGAATTTATAGCCTTGTCTTACTAACAACAGAGGAAACAATATTCATATTGTGTTAATGACAGTTCATGGGGAAGAATTCTAAGATAAATAGTTACTTACTGTAGCACAACAGCTAATAGTTGAAGGTCCAACTCCTCCATCTACTTCAATATCTAATAATGGATAATGTTCTCTTAAATATTTCACTTTCTCCATCTGATTCTCCATAAACTTCTGACCGCCAAAACCTGGTTCCACTGTCATGATAAGCACCATGTCCGATAAAGATATATACTTTTCTACCTCTGCAACAGATGTTCCAGGCTTTATTGCAACTCCAACCTGAAATTAAAGTAGTCATAACAATATTTTAGACAGATTTGTTATAGTTATGCAAGGTTTTTCATTATGATGTCTCTTATAACCACACAAACCTTCATTCCGTTTTCTCTGATCTTCCTACAAACTTCTTCAACATTGTCTACTGGTTCAATATGGAATGTATACTGATTAACTCCAGCATCAGCCATTGGAACTATCCACTGCAAAAACGTTAAGTATAGAATATACTATACTGTATACTAAATGTTTACTAAATAGTTTGAATGACTAATAAGCTTAAAACATATCTTTATCATATTAACCAGATTTTTAATATTGCTAAGATTAAGATTTACCTGTTCCGGATTTGAAACCATCATGTGTGTTTCAAAGAATGCGTCCTTTATTTTACCACGAAGACATTTCACTACGGGGTGTCCTAAAGTGAGGTTAGGAACAAAATGACCATCCATTACATCCAAATGCAAGTAATCAGCACCATTATCTAGGAGTTTCTGAGATTCTTCATATAATTTAGACAAGTCTGCATTGAGAATGCTAGGTCCTATGAGAGCTTTTAAATGACGAGTCATTTTGTTATTTAGAATAAAATACTGCTGAACCGTACTTTTAAATGTCACGTTTCGTGTATTAGTTCTTATAAAAGAAAAGTTAAAACGAAATCTATGAAACACTGTACTTTGTACATCTGCTAAGGTTAAAGTTTATAACAGAAAGGTTATAGATATGATAGGAAAAACATCTATGTTTACCTATTTTAAATTGATAATAAATGTCATATGTTGAAGACTTCAGTTAGTTTTTTTTCTATGCTATGGCTTCATTCACATTGCACTAGAGGGGAATGTTTTGTCAATGTTAACGTGTTTATTTAAAGGACCAATAATTATAATATACTAAATACTGTAGGTAGAGAATAAGAAGCGGTTTGTCTATTGGAATAATGGCGATTTTTAAGACTGCAGTTATATTTTTAGTAGCACTTAGAACAAACCAAAAATTACGTATATAATAATCTTAGCAATCTAGAATATATATCATCGTTAATGAAAAATAATTTTAAGCTGATTGATTTAGTGACAGACAAAAGGCCTATAAAATACTCAAATTTAATTGGTGGAGGCAAAATATTAGACTGAATAATATGCATATATTCTCGTATATGGAATAAGTTGTTATTAGACAAGAAAATAACATATATAGATCCTTATACCAAATGTTCAGTGCTTAAATTATGGCGATAATTCAGTATATTTATTATTTTTGTGGAAAAGACACGAGTGGTATCGTGTGCTTACTTTTTTTCACTATATGCTGAAAAAGCTGCAACGACCAAACGAACTACCTGTTATAAATTACAAAGTGGCTAGCGTCACCTATCAAAATCTGCAACACATTGAAATAGGATATTCAGAACGTGTTGCCAGCTCCGTTTAATATATATTTTTAAATGTTCTATTGCAGTTCGTAAAAAAAGGCTCAGGAAATATCTAGATTATTTCTAACATTCTGCATGTACGTAGATAATTCGTTCAAATCAGATCGTCCTGATCATGTGGATAAAATCCAAATCCGGAGAGTGCGGTGACTAAAACGTGTCAATGTTATTTTTGTAATACCAATACACCATTGCTGATTGCTGTTAATTGCGCTTTTTTTTTTAGAATAATGGGTTGGCTATCTTATTAAAAGTCCTGAAACAAACAAAAATGTTATTTTATGTGTCAAATTACAATTATCAATACCCTAAACAGTTATCGCCCTTATTATTTACGAATTTTCAAATTTTAAAATACAGTTAAGTTTTATTCAATACAATAAAACTCGATTAGACATTTAATGTTGTCTGCATGTTCATACAAGTTTGCATCGCCATATACGGGTATCAAAAGTAACGAGTAACTTAAATTTACGATAGTACTGAGTAAGTTCTGTTTATCCATTACAATACAGAACATTAGGTATATTGTATAGCACAAGTTAATGACTTGTGGTATAAAAGATACGAGTATATACAATATATGTTACCTATGTTTTAAATTTTCGACGATACGAAATGCCTGGTGTTGTACAGAGTCAAGTGGGTGTAATTGGTATTGAGGTGCTCTGGACTGGAAAAGAGGACAGTGATTTACTTTAAACGAACGAACGAAAGTCTCAGACATTCAAAGTTCTATTAAATAAAGGAACAGACGCCATATACTTGTACGATAATAGTATTTTATTTATAAAGCTATTTTTTGTAATTAATTTGTAACGATGTTATGTTTTTTCCAACACGTTTTTTGCCATGCTTTCTAGCTAGAATTTTTTTAACATTGTAAGAGTTTCAATTAAGTATGCATTATCCTCATGCTTTGTTGGAAGTACATAATGTTAATAAACAAATGCGGAAGTCGAGATAATTTAAAATAAAAAAAAAGAGTAAAAGCGTCATTTTTGCATGTGATATTTGGCACGTATTGTTTACAAAATAAAATCTATAACCACCCATTTTAGAAAGCTCCACGTACAAATATTCTATAAATATCAAGTGAGCTGCAGGGATTTATTTAGTTGGAAATATTGTTACGAATATTATTGAATAGTATATTTGAGTTTTATTTCTATTTCAAACTTTCATGAACCGTATTTTTACCAACTATATACATGTATATATATAATTATTGAGATTTATTAATTTAATAAAAAAATCATCTTCTTAGATCAATTTTCTCTACGAATTTAAACTGTGCTGTGATGCAAGCAATAAGTGTAATGTACCTACTACTGCGGTAATAAAAATTTGACGAAACGTTATCTCAACCATCTTGAACATTTTTGGCACAGTAATATATTTTATATGTCACGATTTTGGTTCACATCAAATGATTGTATTAATAAAACCATATTTTGTATTTATATTTATTCCATTGGTGTATCATTTCAATTATGGTGAAGGTAAAAATTACTGCAATTCAGATTTTTGCATCGACTCTAAAGAGCCTATTCTTTGCAATTTTCACGTATGTAATTTCAAAATAACTATTTGTGTTTGTAATAATAATATTTATTTATATTTGACAACTAGAATATAAGTTAAAAAGAAATGTGTTTTAGAATAAAGGACTTGGTAAAGATTGTTCACATTATGAGAAACTATTAAAAACAGAAAAAGACAAGCAAGATATTTTAGATAAAATTAATCAACGAAGAAATAAAGTCGCATCGGGTGACATACGTTCTCTGCCCCCTGCTGCAAACATGCTTAAAATGGTATGTACTTATGAATTTATTTTAAAATAAATAGCAGGTATATTGAGACTAAGTACGTAAGGCCTCAGTGACGAGAGGATCGAAAATTTACATGTAAGTGGCTTTTAATTGGATTACTGTGTAATCTTCATTGTTAATTCAGATTACGTTTCAGTTGTATGAAATATCATTCTGTGTACATTATATTATGTCGGTCATACTACGCTATATTACATTTAGTGATAAAAAATATTTAAAAATAAATAAGGTCTTTTCAAAGTCTAAAAAGTTATAAAGTGCCGGGCAAAAACAACAAAGAATTGCTTATAATGTTGTAGAGTTTAATTTCCTTTTAATGAATTTAATCTCCTTTCGTGTACCTAATTACATAAGCGTCAGCGTATCTCAATGTAAGAATAAAACAAAACGGCTACTTTTTTGCACTCTATAAATCAGTGTTATAAAATATAAATGATAAGAAAACTTACATATAATCTAATAATCCCACATTGTTATGAGTTTTATTCTTAAGCACAACTGATTTGGACATTTAATATGATAAAGCAATTTGCAAACCTTATCGAAATAGTAATAAACACATTACTATACTATAAATAACATTTTTACCTAAGACCTTGTAGAGAGCGTAGCACTTTAAAAAACTGTTTACAGTGAAACGACGTTATCTTTTAAAAACAGGGTTTATATAAGGTAATCAGAATCCTGTATGTTTAGGACTCTCTCGTGTAGGCTCTAAAGAGCGACCGTCTTGATAAGTAACTGAAATCAATTTTATGTATTGATTAAGGGGCTGTGGTCTTTGATGACATATTACTATTGAACTTCGATTATTATTCATGAACAAAGTTTGAATTTATAATTAATGAAGATTAATTAACAGGAATGGAACGAGCAATTGGAAATTTCTGCACAGAGATGGGCCGATCAATGTTTTAATAGCAGTGTTATTGAAAGGAGAGATATCTGTACAGATTTAGGTGGGATATTTACAGATGGTGTTTGTTTTACTAATTACATTGTACCTTGTATTTAATTACATCATTTTTAAAATAATTGTTATTTTTTTGAAAAAAATTAAAATGATACTTGCATATTTATTTTTGAATTAATTACAATTTGTTATAATATGTAATTTCAATTTCACAGTAAATGAGACGGTCGGTCAAAATGTAGCAACTATATACGGCGAAGCGCCTGGCTTAACAATATCAAGTTTGGTTGATATTTGGTATATGGAGCTTTTGAATATGAATAGCTCTATTATATCGCGATACAGACCGTAAGAATTAAATCATAGTACGGTAGTTATAAAAAGTATTTTATATGTATTACAAACATACTTTTCTTTGCTTGATAACGTGTATTTCTACATTGCGCCCGATATATGTAGAAGGGAGGAATTCAATCTAAATGCCTAGCCGTTGTAACATACTCTATAGTTACCGATAGATACGATTTTAGTATGTGTTCCTTCAGCTTGTAATTACACTTGGTATTTAATTGGGAGGAGACGGAGAAGATGTTTTTTATATTGTTGGAAATGCACGAAATGTACTAGATTTATAGATGTATTTTGTGATTTTTAAGGAAATATTTATATTAAACATAATAGAGTTACTAAAAAGAAGCTTATATACTTTTAGAACAATACAGTACAACATACCCGTGCCGAAGTATCTCGTCTCATATTTGTTCAATCAAAGCATGTTATATAATATTTTATATGTATGTTTTATACGTTAAAAAGAATCTTTTTTGATTATTCTTTCAAATATATTCGCATATTAAAAGTGACCATTTATTCCTCTTGATAATTGAATAACGAAGCGCACATTTTTTGTGTTCAAAAATTTGATTCGAATATTTTTATTTCTTATTGTATGTTAAAGGAATGATAGAATTGTGTGAGGCATTATGAAAATTGCGGCGAAAAAAAAATGTTTTACTTATGCTGTACAAGAGTATGTAATCACTCAATTGAAAAGAAAAATATTTAGCCTATTTAAAGGTTTTTGTCAATTCAAGGTCATCCCTGACACGTTTATCGGAATACGATAATTTCACTCAATTGGTGTGGGCTGAAACGAACAAGGCTGGATGTGCCGCTGTGAAATTTAAGGTAACGAATTTATATGTATATAACAATAATTTAATAAAATTATTATAAACATTTTTGACGTAATTAATTTGTTTAATCTGCGTTAAAATTGATTAATAGAATTATCGTACCATAAAATTAATATACATTTATTAATTGAGCTCCATGAAATGAGCAACTTATATGAAAAGCTTTGAAACATAAAAATTCCAGGAATCGGAAGGAAATGAAACCGTGTATAGATTGGTGTGTAATTTTGCACCAAGTGGTAATCGATTTGGGGATTCTGTGTACAATGAAGGGCAACCATGTTCAAGATGTCCCTTTAACCGAAGCTGTGATACTCAATTCAGAAATCTGTGTAGTAAGAGATTAATCAAAATACATTTCTTATTAAGTTTTAACTATTGTAAATATTAAAAGGTGTATTTGTTACAGGTACTATAAATAATGCACCACAACAAGTGATTTATGACGGTCCAACATCCAGTTTTTTCAGAGATTTATTTAGAACAGAGAACAGAATACATTATGAAAGCTCCACGGAAAGTATTAGCGTATTCAAAAGCACTTCAACTCTAGATAATATTACCGAAGAAGATGCTCAGTTTGATTTTTTATCTGATTTATTTGAAGTAAAAAAACCACAGTTACTTACTGAAAGAACTACCTTAAAATGTAAAGATTACTTGGCAGTCGACGATTTTATAGAAATGTTGAAAAGTAAATTGACTAATGATCAAATACTGAGAAATTTATTGGCTACGTCTGCACAGACTAATAGCCCAGAACCTACATTTACTGATCGCACGATGGCAGCTATGATTAATCAAATTTATAGTACTAAAACAACCCCTACAACGACAAAAACAACTGTAAATGATTACATAAATTCAACGCTTTTGGTTGATCTTGTTGAGGCTGTTATATTCCGGCACAGCAGTAAGTTTATATTTATATTTTTAAATTTTAAACTATATGACGTTGGTCCGATAAGTGTTTAGACTGCAAAGGAAAATGATCATATTTGAAAATTTGCCATTTTTGTAGTTATCTTGGCATTGCCATTATTATACTAATCTTTCTTTAAGTTCGACTCGCCCTGATATTACATATATATGAAGAAGAAAAATCACTGTGCATAGGATTTAATTTCATTTCAGCACAATTTCTTTCTAAAAAAAACAAATCCAATTAGAAACCGATATTCCACTTTATCAATTGTTAAAAATATACTGACTTTTTAACTTTTACAAGCCATAAAATTAAAATTATTCCTAAATCGATAAAAACCCTGACAGTAGCCATCTATGAGGATAATTTATCCAAATATTTTTTTATGATAAAACATGTAGTAAGGCTAAATACTTGTCGAATCATCCAAGTAATTCGATACCGAATAAAATGCCGTTTCAAATTCTTGAAATAAATATGTAATTGAAAACGAATACTTTCAGATCGATTTTCAACGAATGATGATGTAAAATCTTTTACACAGTATGAACCTGATATAAGCGTCGTCAAAGTACAAGCGCAGACAGGTGAGGTTATAACTAACAATGAGTTTACAGGACATTTCTTTTTCCCTGAAGAAGAAGAATCAGTAGAGACAAATACGGACGACGAAAGCACTGAGTCATACTACGATTCTGATAAATTAGCTGTTTCTGATATATCAATGGAAATTGAGGATTTGAAAAGGGACAGGATCACAAAAGATTTCATAGAAGAAATTTTAGACTCAGAACTTGCGATGGAAACTATTATAAAGGATGCAAGTTTACCGGACTTAAATACTGGTAACACTCTGGTTATTAATGAGTAAAGAATAATAATAAATTAAATTATACATTATCTACATCCGAATTCTCTTACTAGAATCAAGTGAGAAATTATTACTCAATAATAATACAGACAATGAAGAAGGTGAAGTATTTAAAAACACCGATAAATTAAGAAAGAGTAAGAGAGACATTAATGTTATGAAAATTAACGATGATTGGGTCAAGATGACTAAGGGCTGTGCATTTGTAAGATATAAAAAATTACTGAGAAATCTTGCTAATGACTTGCGAAGACTAAAACTCCAGAACCGATTTAGTTGTGCTCATAGCTCTGTACAACTTTTATCTCAAAGGCCAATCGTTATCGCTTCAGTAGTATTGTTTAGTATCTGTTCTGTTTGGACGTAACAAATAAATTATAAATGAAATTGATTACATTTTTATTTTAGTATAGTTAACATAAATACCAATGCGATGTTATAATAATCACTTTTTAATTTTGAGACATGATTACAAAAGCAAAATTGGTTATGTTGGATACTTTTCTTTTTCCACATTTTAAGTATTTTTTGAGTTACAAGATAGTAAATATCACCATATGATAACAAGTTATTCTCAGCCTCAATATAATTTTCTCTTTTGACTTTTCGAATATTTAAATTTTGTGTACTGTTACGGCTGATTGTAAATCTTTTACTCCAATTTTTTGTTTTTATTTTGCGGTTACTTAATAAATTTTTACGTGTCATGTTTATTGTATTGTCAATACTCCTTTGTGATTTAGTAATATTATATAAGATGGATGTGGGTGTTGTACGTGTCTGAATTTCTTTATTCTTATTTATATTTCGTTTGTTTAAAGACCTACGTTCACAATAATCTTCATCATCACCGCTTTCATTTTCTATAGTAGTAACTTCAACGGGCAATGTTGCCATTTTGTTACGATTCATGTAGTCTCTGGTACAAGTCGAAGTTCTTGTACATCCTTCAACGTAGCCAGGTGGTGTTCTAGACCCACTATTATCGCCACCTCCAGTTATAATACTACCATTACTGTCAGTCATAGAAGCGGCAGTCCAGGTGCAAGTTAACTTGCGTGTGCAATGTTTCATTCGAACATATGGAGTATTAGCAGTGTATTCAGAAGTGGTTGCTGCTGTAGTAGCAGCAGTCGTAGTTGCTTTAGTTGTATCTGCTCTGAGTATTGGAATACCGTCATCGGACAGAAGTTTAGCCCTGTCTTCATCAGATCTTCGTGCGTTAAGTTCTGTGTTATATTTTCGGAGATGTAATAACTCGTCAAATGACAAATACTTTTCTGTAACCCGTTTATTTGATACCGCCGGTTGTGTTTTAAAAGGAATCGTGATAGACTCAGTTTTAGCTGAGTTTCTGGTATTTTGTTTAAGTATTTTGGATTTAATTTTTTTGTTCGATAATGTTGTAAATCTTAAAGATTTTAACTGTGGATGTTTATTACTAGAATATTCATCGACTTCCCAAAATGGTTTAAAATTTATTTCTTCTTCTGGTACGCTCCTTTTCCTATTCCTGAAATGAAATAGAAAAAAAAATATTAACAATATGTGCCTTACACCTGTGATTTTCTTAATATGCTAATTTACCTGCCTGTGGAACACTCTTCTTTTATTAAAGTTTTCCTCATTTTCATTGCTCCTTAACCAAGACTCGTAACGATTTGATTTTGATGCAATTTTTGGATTAATAGAATGAAAATTAGGATGTAAGTCATCATAAAATGAATCTTTATTACTATTTCTGTCTTCAGAGAGGTCCTTCATAGTTCGTAACATACTTTGACAGGGTTCAGTTGGCCAATTTTCGTCTGCACAGTCACAATTAGTTTTACGATTGTGCCCACAAGTCATAAATCTCGTTTTAAATAATTTTTTAAAGGTATTACAAGGACACGACTCATGAGGAATAGAATCAGATGCAGTCAAAATTTGGTATTCATTACAATTATTATTCGATAATTTGTGGTTATTTATCTGACGTCGCGTACATTTAGCTGTTTGATCACATGGTGTGCATTCTGTAGCAGTATTTGTTTGTATTTCCCCTTTTCTTGTACAACGGTTACCACTGTTGTGTTTTCTAAATTGTTGATTAGAAAACATGTTTATGGTGTAAGTGGTTGTATCAAACCTCCTAGAATCTATTTTGGATGTTTCTGGATGTAATAAATCAAATTCATTTCCATGATTGTGGCCGTGGTACACTCTCGAATGTCCTCTTTCTTTTTGATAATATTCTGCGTGATCTCGTGAATTGTTATTAGGAATACGCCAAAAGTGGTCACCGTCTAAAGGGTAACTGCGTTTCACAGCATCTGAAATATAAATTAAACTAATTTTTGAAAAATAAACTATAGATGTAATAAAAAATGTGTTATTAATATCGTTATAAATTCTTATTAAAAAATCTTAACTATTTTACTAACCGTATGGATGTCTTAATAAATCTCTAAGTTTTGATTTATGGTTGCTGTAGTAATTATTATTTTCATGATAAACTTTTACGTTTGGTTTAGAATTGTGGTAAATTTTAATAGGATCCATTTCTGGGGTTGCTGATTCATTGTATAAATTAAGTATTCTTAGAAAGCTGGTAGATGGAACTTTAGTAGACATTTTATCTAAAAATATATAAGTTTTTATATAAAGTATTATTGATTACAATTTTTAAAAATGCACAGTTTAATTGATTTTATTACAAAATAATTTTGTGCTTGTTTCTCAAGGTATGACTTTACCTCTATATTTTAACGTTAACGGTTTTGGTGTATTGCGTGTCTCACACAAACCAGTAAACGATTTATCGGGATTCATACTATTTTTACACTGAGTGGCGGGATATCCTATTATATATATCGGCTTTCCTTGTACGTTGCCTGTTGGGGCGAAATTGCAAACAAGTCTTTCAATAAGAATAGGTCTTTTATTATGTATCTGAAAATATATATTAATTTCAACTTATATGTTTTTTTGCATTAATTATTAACAATCTACATACTAAATATCATTCCTTGTGAATACGAATAGGAACATTAAAAGAAAACTTTAAGAGTTTTAGTTAGACAGTTTAATGACTAGCGGGTACTCTTCAAATAGTACTCGAAAAAAAAATCGTAGATCGCAAACAAAACTAATAAAGGTATAAAAAATATTTTACAACCACATCTTGTGATATATTTTAAATATAATATTATTTTGAGACAATTTAAACATCTGTAATTGTACCACGTCTGTTATTTAAATCAGTCAAAAAACTGTAATTTTTTCGCTGAATAACAATAAATAATATTTGTGTGTATTATATATATAACTGTTTTTTAATTGGATATTAAGTATTCATTTATTTTATTAAAAATATTCAAATAGTCATAGAAAAATAATTGGATGTCGCCCATGAATATTTTATATAAAAATATATGATTTTTTTGAAACATAAATGTATTTAAGGGTATAAAAACGCAAAAATTCTTAAACATATCTTGTTGAGAAATAATCTTGTAGAATAAAACTTTCTACTATTTGTTTATTTGCCTTTTTATATATCTAACAAGGAAACTTATTTTGTAAAGGCTATCTGGATAAAACAAAGCACAAAAATTGATTTAAAAGTATTGTTTTAAGGAACCAGGCAAAATAAGGATAATTCATTTTGACGGTGATATTTTGTTTCTTTTCAAACATATGGTTATCGTTATGTTACTGAGTAGTTTGAGCGGCTTTGAAGTAAGAGGTATTTTTACTGATTTTTGTAATGATAACTGATTATCCGTATATCTTTTAAACAATTGTTTTTTATCACATGATCTCAAAATATTCATCCATTTATCGTATGTTATATGTATTAGAACCGATTGCAGGCTAATTAATAATTAAATCTGTACAGAAAAACAAATGAACGGATATCAGTTTGTTTTTCTTTTACAAAAGTATTTTTTACCATAAATTTAGCTCTTCCACAACCCACTTCTTCTGTTTCAGCCCAAATTAATTGTGTGAAGTAATTTGCTTTATGGTCAACAGATCTGGAAGGCATAAGCAACATAAAACATAAATAAAATATTGTATTATCTACATTTATAAGAAAGGTGAACGATGAAAATCTTTTAAGGATTTTTATAAAACAGTGTTTAATTAAAATGAATGAGCAATCAGTTTTCTTTTATGTTCATGTTAAAAAGATAAAATTTACATTTATATAATGAATACTTAAATGTCTAGAGATTAATATTCAGATTTAAATATTAAAATTAATGTTTATGATTTCGGCTGACTTGTGATTCACTAAATGTTTTGGGTAAAATTAATTCTATTCATAAATAGTCGGGAAACTGCAAAGGTCCTTTCGTGGCTCTTCTCCTCGGAGAGAAAGCATCAACATTCCTTTATTGCTTCGGTTACTTTACTTTCCTTCGTTTAATGGCTCTCAAGCTTATTCTGACGTTGGGACAAAGAAAATAAAAAGAAAACCGTACTAGTAATATATATATTTGCACAATTCTGATTTGGTCGAAAAAGATAACCTCATAATTTTCTCGTTAGAATGGTGGGTTTAAGGCCCGGGTAAGTTACATCTTATCTATCGTAAGCTTATAACAATATATGTATTTCATATATTATGTACCATACAATTAATCAAAGTACTTCTAGAAAGATATACAAAAAAAAAAATTAAAGTTTATATTATTCTAGAAAAGTTATTTATTCAATATTCAATACTAACGAGTTTGTTATTTCAGGGGAGAAATTGGGTTGGAGACTAATTAGATTTATTTCAATCTAATGAAATGTGTGTCTAGTACCTATTTGTTAGCATAACTTAGCAAAACATGGAGGAACGTCCCTAAGGCGTTTCTTTATAAGTGGAGAATCTTATTACAAAATGTTCTTAGTTCAACAACAATATTGTGACATTAACTTATGATATTCTAAGTATAAATTAAATTATTCTGCTCTTCGATTTGAAAGTTTTAAAACTAATTCTATAATATAATACATATGATATGTATAAAGCAATTACGTACTTACTGATTGTAAAAAGTAACACTGCTATTATAGTAAATAGATTTCATAAACCAGATTTCAACGAAACTTTTAATATTAAGTCCTGGTGCAGATCCGACTATTGTTGCTATATTTTGGCCGACTTTTGTATTTTCTGAAAATTTAAAATACTTTATCTTATTCTCAGTTTTTCCAATCTCAATTTTTTTCAGTATAGTGTACGTATTGAGTATTAGAAAATGGTATTGTTTTATTTATATAGTGTTTTAGAATTGTTAAAATAATGAATTACCAAGGTCTCGACAGCTATCTTCCTTAGTCATACTTTGATCACATTGGTCTACCCAACGCTGAGCAAAAGTTGCTAATTCTTCGGACCACTTCTAAAAATGTATATTTCATTGTAATGTTAAAATATTAGTAGTAAAATTTTGATATTAATACATCTTCTATGACTTAATGGCCAAATACGTAATCTAAAAAAATATATTCTAGAAATATCTCCATCTTATAGTCTAACTATTTTATCTTACATCTTTATTGAAAATGATTACATCTTTATTGAAATTATTGAGTTCAAAATATAATCACTTTTCTTACAATTTTATTCATATTTGCTGCTGCTGGTAGATACTTGGAACGTCCTGTGGCAATAAAATTTCTTCGTGCATTAATTTGGTTAATAATAGCATTGGCTTCGGCTTTTCCAAGAATCAGGTTTTCATCATAACCTGTGCATTCCGTACTGGGTCCAGGAATCTGAAACAAGCGTCTTATAAAACTAAGATTTCAACTTATTACTCATATTTCATTTTTTGATGATTATTTGTGCTTTAAGCGATTAATTAACTATTACGAATCCATATTTACAGGTTAATTTTGGAAAAACAAAAGGATAATCTTGTTAGGATTTTCTTTTAGAACAAAATGAATGACAAATTGGATAAATATGTTTACGTAACGAATTACAATCAGTTAATACAAAGAAAACCCGAAAGAGAAGTTGATGGGGTTCTACAGTTATAACACTTCCTTATTTTATACATATAAAAATGTAAAAATATTATACCGGATACAGACAGAGTGTGTGATTTGAACATATTTCACAATATTTAGATAAGTTTGCACAAACAAAACTACTCAAGTAAATTTTTATAATAAAAAATGACAATAATTTCATGGTATTAAACCATAATACTTAAATATATTTCAAATGTATAAATAATAATAAGTAGCCGTTTCATGGCCCTCTGGAAACAATTAATTATGACAAATATGTGACAGTCATTTCGTTATAATGGAGGACTTTACTGGAAGTGGTTATGTTACTGACATTATGTCTTGTTATTTTATATAGTTTTTTGGAAATAAATACATTCACAATAAGTTATAGAAATGGGAACACGCGGAACACTAAAACATTCCAAAATACCACTAGTAGTGTTAATTGTTCAGTATATTTGTGATATATTTTAAAATATTCGAATTTTTATTAATAACCATGCATGCTAATGTTTCAGATAAAATTGATACCGAAAGTAGTAGAAGAATGGAAGATGATAGAACTCTTGTGACAATACTTCCAAACACAATAAAGGCGCCAAATTTAAAGTATAATATTTTTGATAAAATGTTATCAAATGAAATGTTATCAATAAAACATCATTTATTTGACAAAAATTCAACTTATGCATCGTCAGTGTACATATCGTTACAAGACAACGTACCAACTCCTACACTCGAATTAAAACAGAAATGGCCTATTGAGAAGCTTCTTCTAAAATCTAAAAGTGAGTCAAACAATGTAAAGTCAATAGAAGAGACTGATAATGACCAAAACGTTGTCATATATCCACCATACTCTAGTATTACAACTTCCGTTCATAATCAGTTCCATTCAGAAACAGAAAATATGGATTATACAAAAAATAAAATCATTGAAGTGAGAAGTTTTTCTAATAAGCCTGTTATTCATACAAAGATTCCGTCGATACTAAGACAGAAACAAATGTGTTCTTGTATAAAAACCAATCAAGAAACAACGTGCAGCAAACACTGCAGCGCCTCAGACGGATGTTCGAGAACAAAGAAAGTTTGCACACACACTGATGAATATAAGACTTGTCAATCTGAATGTACAAGAACATCTTTAAATATCATGTCAATCAGCCTTTATCCTTTTTACCCATCCTATTTTTTTGGTGAACCAACAGACGCCCCTAACATATACTATCACCCAAACGTAATAAACGAATTGAAACTCCCAAAACACAAACATCGTCACTCAAAAAAACCTTATAACTATCAGCTAGAGGAAAATGATGATAAAGGAGAAAATTATTACTATGAAGATACTTCAAAAGATTATTATTTAGATCCATCTGTCACTGAATACAAAAATAAGAAGTACAGGAAATACAAACATAATCAAAATTTATTGCAAACGGATGATTTAAATACTGGCAACTTGGAGGGGGAGAGTAAAGACAGGTTTATAGCAGAAGTTGTTGAAGATTTAAAAGCATATTACAGCGATGCTGTTATAAGGGATTGTTACTGTTCTTTTTCAGCATTCAATTTGAAAATTCAATATAAATTTGTTATGCTATTTACAGCTTTAATTCATGTCATTATGTAAAATTATAATTTTATTTTAATATATATTTAACTCTTTCAGTATTGTAAGATAATAAAGTCATATTCTTAAGTGAATGTCTATAATTGTTTATATTTTTACAATTTGACGAAAACAATATTAAATTAAAAGTCAGAAAAATTGTGGAACGTAATATACTTAACATGATGAACATGTGCCAGTTACATATAATATTAAATATTCGACACTAAAAAGCTCTTTTTATGCCATTTTAGTGAGAAAAACAAATTAACGAAAAATATAAAGAATAAAATGCTGTTTTATTTTTTTTGACATTCTCTGAATTATAAATGGTACATTGATGATTTTTAGCAAAATTAATATATTTTTTTCGGATAATTTGATTTAGATATAAAAAATTTGTGACATACCGATTATAAGTTCATTGAGAACCATTTTCATGTTTAAGATAAAAATAAATAAACAATGAATTTATTAATAAGGTGATAAAACAAATAACAACTATGTATTTCTAGTAGGAAATCACGTAAACGGGATCAATTAAAAATATAGCATACTTATGAATATTGTTCAGTTTAAATCTTAGAAATATATTTATTAAGTATAATATAAAGTATACATTAAACTAACCACATGTTTGTTTTTTATAATAGTTCATGAATCATAAGACTTGTACCTAAAAATGTAAAAATGATTATGGCATCTCATAAGACTATTTAAAGCTTATTTATAAATTTTGAATAATATATATTTTGAAGAAAATATATAAAACCATTGCTAAACACGTTACAAACTTATTAAGACTCCGAAGTTTTCAAATAGTCCAATAAGATTTAATTGTTACTTATTTTTATACAATATTAAGGCTTAAAACGATTTTTATTGTAGGAATATTAATATGATTCGCATTTAAATGGAGGAAATGCGCACGTGATTAAAACATTTAAGTCTGTAACTGACACATGACAACATTAAATTAAGCCACGACGCTGCTATGAAAGAAGTGGTTTACATGTTCTTACAGGATTTGTAACTAAGCATTAATCGATTTTAGCATGTTCAAGACACGGTGATTTAATATTTGACTAATTTAGATACACAGGATAAAATATATGTAAATTATAAACAACCAAATTTATACTTTTAAATTCAATTACATAAACAGGTACATATATTCAGTATTTTAATTTTTCTTACCAGGGCATTCTACAGACGTACCTGGAAGAGATCGTACATCGATCCAGTAGCATTAAGTTTCCTCTCAATCAATAAAAGAAGTTTGGAGTATGTTTTGAATTTTCTTTCGTCTGCCACCTGTAACTGGCCTAAGAAATGTAAATTATATGTATTTTTATACTTATCTACTTAAAGACAAGCAAGTCTTTTTTTACTATTGTGTAAGTACACAATAGTAA